AGCACAATAGGTGACAGACAATAAACCAGATGCATACACCTCTAAAATGCTTCCAGATTCCCTTATTTTCAAAACCTACTAATTTGTTTATTGGTTTTTCAAAGCATCCACCCAATCTGGAGGACCACATTGCAAATACAAATGCATCATTTCTCTACCCATAAGAGGCATCACTTTCATGTTCTGACAGGAGCTAGTAATCAACAGCAATCAGTTACACAACATAATTTTTAAAGTCTCTCCTAATGCTTGAAAGAGAAAATTATTAAAACTGTAAAAAAAAATTACATACTTCACTGTTGCTATTTTAGGGAAAAAAGTGCTTTGCAGACTTTTTTGGGGGATATTGTCTTTAAGTAAAAATTACTTGTATATATATTAATTGTTTTGTCATTGCTAAAGGTTTGATGTTATAAACATTTCAGAAACTACATTATCATTTTATACACATGTATCTGGTTTAATATAATGAGGCAACTTCAAACAAAACTGTATTGAGAATGTCATTATTGATACTGCATGTTTTCTTATAGGTTGTAAAATCTTAGAGCCACTTAACTCTAAAATGTGTGGTTACCTTATCATGCCTCTTGATTGTGAGTTATTTACCATGAGATTTTTCCATTATAAATAGCTTTAACACTCCTTGTTCCAATGACTTAAAAACACGATTTCCACCAGCTGCTACTCTGTGTCAGAACTGCCATAAAAGGTATGACATATCATTGAGAAAGGAGACCTACACTCCAAGCAGGCTTTCTTGTCACTCTTCCTTCATACCCTATGCTTACTTCTGCCTTTAGGAAACAAGAGGCCAGTAACCAGGACTTGAGTATCTGAGCTATTTCCCTTTATTCTTCAAATCTAAATTTAAGTATACCTCCCAGAACTTTCTTTCCTTATGGCCCAATCAAATTAAGTCTCCACAGGCAAACCAGCATTCAGGGTCAGGGTAGAGCTGTTGCACAGGAACACCTGGGCCATACAGCTCTCCTTGGTCCCTTGATGGGGACATGGCCTCACCAGTGCTAAGTTAGTTCAATATTTTCCAACATTCCCTGAAAAGGAAGCATGGGGAGGATTGACATGAGTTTCTATGGAATGGTATATACATTCCATGCATAAACAGGCAGGTTTAAAGAAATTAGTGTGTATTCATTGCACAGAAGGGTTCATTGTGATATTTCCATATATGCATGTAATGTACTTTTGATCAAATTCACCACCTCCATAACTGTTTCTTATCCCCCACCCTCTTTATTTTATAGCATTTAGGGGCTTTCATTATACTATTTTCATAATACATATAATGTAGTTCTATTATACCCCTCCCCAATCAGTCATCTCAGTTCTTTTCCTTTAGTCTCAATTCTGGAAAGACCCTACTTGCACAGAATTGAGGCAGCTGTGAGCAGCACAAGGGAACCAGAGGGCCAGGGAAAAACTCAGGCAAGGATCCACAGCAGCTCATATGTACCTCGCTGTTTGCCCTTACATTGTGTCTTAGCTGAATATACACGGAGGGCTGGGATGATGTAGCTCAGTGGGACAGCACTTACCTGTCAAGCCCAATGTTCTGGAATTGATCCACAGCATCACAAAATAAAGACAGATGGGGGTCATGCTAGTGTGGCTTCTTCCTGTTCATCATGACATAACTGCGTGCTGTTATTCCTGTTATTTTCACTCATGGAGTCCAGTATTTTCCTTCACAACCCTTAACTCACAATCTCTTTTTTTTCCTTTTTCTTTTATTATTCATATGTGCATACAAGGCTTGGTTCATTTCTCCCCCCTGCCCCCACCCCCTCCCTTTCACACACTCCGCCCCTCCTCCCCCACCCCTCAATACCAGCAGAAACTATTTTGCCCTTATCTCTAATTTTGTTGAAGAGAGAGTATAAGCAATAATAGGAAGGAACAAGGGTTTTTGCTGGTTGAGATAAGGATAGCTATACAGGGCATTGACTCACATTGATTTCCTGTGAGTGTGTGTTACCTTCTAGGTTAATTCTTCTTGAACTAACCTTTTCTCTAGTACCTGTTCCCCTTTTCCTATTGGCCTCCGTTGCTTTAAGGTATCTGCTTTAGTTTCTCTGCGTTAAGGGCAACAAACGCTAGCTAATTTTTTAGGTGTCTTACCTATCCTCACCCCTCCCTTGTGTGCTAAAGCTTTTATCATGTGCTCATAGTCCACTCCCCTTGTTGTGTTTACCCTTGATCTAATGTCCACATATGAGGGAGAACATACGATTTTTGGTCTTTTGGGCCAGGCTAACCTCACTCAGAATGATGTTCTCCAATTCCATCCATTTACCTGCGAATGATAACATTTTGTTCTTCTTCATGGCTGCATAGAATTCCATTGTGTATAGATACCACATTTTCTTAATCCATTCGTCAGTGCTGGGGCATCTTGGCTGTTTCCATAACTTGGCTATTGTGAATAGTGCCGCAATAAACATGGATGTGCAGGTGCCTCTGGAGTAACAGTCTTTTGGGTATATCCCCAAGAGTGGTATTGCTGGATCAAATGGTAGATCGATGTCTAGCTTTTTAAGTAGCCTCCAAATTTTTTCCAGAGTGGTTGTACTAGTCTACATTCCACAACAGTGTAAGAGGGTTCCTTTTTCCCCACATCCTCGCCAACACCTGTTGTTGGTGGTGTTGCTGATGATGGCTATTCTAACAGGGGTGAGGTGGAATCTTAGTGTGGTTTTAATTTGCATTTCCTTTATTGCTAGAGATGGTGAGCATTTTTTCATGTGTTTTTTGGCCATTTGAATTTCTTCTTTTGAGAAAGTTCTGTTTAGTTCATATGCCCATTTCTTTATTGGTTTATTGATTTTGGGAGAATTTAGTTTTTTAAGTTCCCTATATATTCTGGTTATAAGTCCTTTGTCTGATGTATAGTTGGCAAATATTTTCTCCCACTCTGTGGGTGTTCTCTTCAGTTTAGAGACCATTTCTTTTGATGAACAGAAGCTTTTTAGCTTTATGAGGTCCCATTTATCTATGCTATCTCTTCTTAACTCACAATCTTGATAGCATTTTCTATATATCCTACATGTCATGGTGTATCCTCCGAAGCTGAGAGTATATATAACTCCTGCATAATTGCTTATTTCTGCACCTACTCCTCAGGTGAATGCTGTGACAGTGGGCACTTTGACAAGGTTATTTTCACCATTGTTCCACCAGTGCAGCAGAGTATCTGACACACAGGAGGTGTGAAATAAATAAAGTTTTGATAAATCAGTATTGAAACAGATGAAAAAGATTGCTCTGCCACTCTGCAATGGTGCCAAATCCCTTGTGGTTGATTTTCCCACATCGAAGACAATCATCCCCTGACAGATTCAACCCATTGGTCCTCTCCTTGCCTAACTGATTCAGAGAAATGCCCAGCACCCTTAGTGGGAGGAGCTGCGGTGGAGCAGAGGTGGCTGGGCAGAAAGGGGCCACATGGACTCATCATTGCTTCAGAGATATCTGTGCTGAATTCATCCCTAACATCTTCTAGCTGTTTCCATCGTGGTTTTTTGCCACTTTAGATCTCCAAGACTTGCACATGTATGTTAACAGGTATATATTACAAAATTAAATAAATCATTTGATAAAAATCCAGTTTTAAAAGCCTTTTTGGATACTTATATACAATCACCTCCCCTTTGAAAAAAAACACCAACACTTCAAATTCAGGCATTTACTAACAATACTTTATTAATTACATCATATTTTCATTATTTGTTCTTCAAAATAAAATGATTGTTTTATCACAGTTCTCACAAATCAACTGATTTATTAATCTATACCAAAAGAAGCTGTTCTAATGAAAACAGTATCATCCAAGAAGGGTTAAGAATCCCATGATCTAGTAAGAATTAACTCTCATTATAATTAGCATAAAATAATGATATTAGTCACATGCCAGAGCCTAACGAGAGGGACTGGTACTGTTTATCCCTAATAGCCCCCCCAAATTTAACCCCTTCTTACAGAAAGAAATGCAGTTAAGGAGATCTAGAACTAACCACAATTCTAACTTAATTCTGACCAAGTTTTCCAGTCCATATGTAATAGACGAAACAGTTCATAACTTATAACCAGAATAAAAGGAAAGAGCAAAATTTCTTAGATAATATTTTCCCAGCTAATAAAAGTTTTGTGAAATCCCCACACTTTTATCTAAGACATATATCATTTCCCTGTATTTTTTTGTAATCATTACATTTTTTCAAGAAAGCTATTATCTTTATCATATTACAATACCTGTTATTATTTTTCATATTACGGTATAATTTTTGTCCACATGCAAATTCATGTTATACTTGTAATCACATGGTGCTCGACATTTTATGAACTGTATCTTTCACTTAATGCAATGTTTGCCACTTGCATATAATGAAACCTTCCATGTCTTGTTTCATAGTTGCTAACACCTCCTAATCTCCTTTAGCATAGCTTTACTATTGCACATTTAGGGCATTTTCATTTTTTCTGTTACAAAATACAACATTATATAATTTGTTTTCAGTGTTCTAAATTGTTTCCTTGGTATACAGAATATAAGAATTAAGCAGTTGAAAATTTTTCTCTCTCTTTGTTCAATGAAATTATTTTATAAAAAGGTTGGGCCAATTTACATTTCTCTAGTAATTGGTAAATTTTTCAGCTTAGAGCACTGCACTCTAGCATCTCATTGCTAAATTATAAGTGAGATTGAACTTTATTCAACATGTGTATAGGCTTGCATGAGTTGTCTATTGTCATCCTTAACCCATTCTTCTACTTCCTTCCATTTTTCAAAAGATTTTTTAATTGGCTGCTTGAAGACCTGAAAATAAGCCTCATAACCTGACCTAAATGCAAAAGGCAAGAGAAGCAAAATCAGTACAAACTTGCTGAGTTACCTGAGAGATCCTGGTTGTTACCAGAACAGCATCAACAGAAGACTTGTCCCTTTAAAGGAAATGCTGTCTGCTTAGCCTTGTACATCCTCAGAGCCTCAGAGTGAAGCAAGAAGAAAATGTATCATTGAAGATTTGAGGGCCACACTTTATTAGGAAGTTGTATGTTTTAACTTTAAATCACTTAGTAACTTTTTTTAAAAAACACTGAGGTTGGACACTAATGATGAAACAGGTAAAATGTAACTAAGCATCCAGCTAAGGAGTTGGAGGGGTTAAGGGAGCAGGCAGCTCCTTAATTGCACAAGCAACCTGATTGATACACTGCCCAGCACTCAGAAATAAAGGTTACGATAGCTTTGGATCTTGCATTTTCTAAAATCTTGGGTAGGGGATACTCCCATATCACTTGACATCACAGAGAAGGGCAACCCCACGGAGCACCCAATGTTCAGAGGCCTGGGCTGTCCTGAGGTCCACAGCAGCGATGTAGTTCAAATCTGTTCGAACTGGCTTCTTGTAGATGGGGCAGGAATAAAACCGAGGATCTTTTACAGCTACAAAAAATTCATAAGAGAAAGGAACTTGGTGAGTTTCTAATTTAAGCATCTCAGAGAGACTGCAAAGTCAACCCTGGGCATTCTGAAGGTCATTCCAAAGGAAGATGGCTTTGGGAAACATGAGGGAAATTCCTTCTTATGTCACACAGTTCCTGCATGTGATCCAAACACGACCACACTGGATGTGACAAGACCACCAAGAAAGCCTTAGATTGGCCCCATAACCCCTTGCCCCATGACCTTGGCAGTAACCCCTGCCCAGGTGTTACTCTCTCTTTTCCACCTGCCAATTGGGCATTCTTCTCCAGCCAGTCTCCTTGACCTCCTGCCAAGTCTTGTGTACAATGCCCCCTTCCTTTACCACTATGGGCATTTGGCACAAGAGGCAACTTTTGGTTAGACATCCAGCACCATATAATATAATTTCATTATTATTACTATTATTTTATAATTTCATCTTCAACACTCTGTGCCATAGACCACATCACATTTTAAATCACAGGACAGAGGTATCCTGGTGAAACCCAGTGTTATGAATGTCATTGTAGCAGAGAGCCAAAAATGGCTAGGAAGCAGAAAGAAATGGCACAGTCCTGCTCTCTTGGATTCTGTTCTCCCATTTTAGAACAAAAAAGTAGATTAAGCTTCCAAAACCACACATGCAATGAAAGACAGCCAGTGTGTCCAGCTTTCAAAGATGCTCACTAGTGAATCATGCCTAACCACTCACTTGTTCTCTCCAGCCTTGAAAACCTGGTGCTCAGAGACAGATCTGGGTCTGTGGGGAATTAAACTTAACAAGTGAAGAAAACAGTAAAGCTTTACAGCCATGAATTAGGCTGTGGAAGATGCTCTATTGTAAGTAGGCTGCCAGTTTAAGCTTCATTAGCCCCTTGTGAAATCCAATCTGCCCAAAGCACTTTCTCTGCATATCTCCTAACAGCTCTAGAACTAGTATGGTATTTTTAAGTCTCTTCCATATTATAAAATTTTTAAGGACAGAAATTGTGTCTGTATCCATCTTTTTACTTCTCAGAAAGATCAATACAATATTTAAAAACTGACTCTTGGTTAAGGATTGAGATAAAATCACATATAAGGGGACAACTTTGGAGGATTAGTGTACCAAGCTGGGCACTGAATCATGGAGGTAGAACTATAACTACAATCTTAACATGTCAGAGTTAATGATTTATTTCCCCAAAGTGATTTGTTCAATAACTTCACTTTCATAACAAATTACCAAAAGCAAGGCATTATCAAAAGTTAGTCTCAATATTTGGCCCAAAAGAAGTTTGAACCTACTGTTCCATGTGGTTTTAAACATTCACTATAAATTTAATTACTTTTACTGGAAGAAGTTAAACATTTGAGTATCATAATATAATACATACATTTGAATATAAAATAAATATTCTGAAGTAGTGATTCCTAAGCAGGAGTGATTCTATCCTCGGGGGATATTTGCCAATATTTGGGGACATTTCGGGTTATCACAAGTGTAGGCCTGCCCGGTGTGTCATGGGTAGAAGCAAGCACAAATCCTACAACAAAGTTTTATCCAGACCCAAAGCATCAATAGTACCAAGGCTGAGAAATCCTGCTCTGCAAACAACAAAGAGATAAATATTTTTCAGTACTTAAAAACTCTGTGTTCATTAATCCCATGAAATTAATCACTAGACACAACCTCAAACAATATAACACCTAATTCTGAAGTTTGGATGCAGTTTTTTCAATTACTATGAGGACATCACTCATAATACTAATTGGGTCTATCTATTAAAAATTCTGATCAAGTGAATGACAATGAACTATGGAATGCTAACTATACTAACAATATATTTAAAATCCTAGAGTCTGTAAACATGTAACAAATAAATAATTGTTCATACTGCAAAATTGATTAACGACCATTTTATAAAACTTGAAGGAAGCCATTAGAGCCTCAGGATAATTATAATAATTATACCTTATAAAGTATTTGACTCCTTGGATTTTAATTCCAAAATAAATTAGAATTATAAATAATGACAGTATTTTTAATAAGCAGTTAAAATAATTGTCTGAAATATTTATCTAGTTTTATTTGCTTTTAATTGCTTCAGAACTGAAGGTGCCCACACCAAGTCACAGCATGCATCAAACCTTTGCAGCAGGGTTTGAAGCCACTGAAAATATAATTTCATAGTGGAAATGCTGACAGACACTAAACAACCACAAAAACAGATGATCTGCAGCCATCCTTCAAAACAAGAAGCTTTGAAGACAGAAATAAGTGTGCCAGGTAGGAAGAGCAAATCGGCTACATATGTTTAAAGCCTTAGGGTTCCAGAGAGAGAAACGGAGAGAAGGGGTTGTGAAAACTGGTGAGCTCTACATATGTGGACATTAGATCAAGGGCAAACACAACAAGGGGATTGGACTTTGAGCACATGATAAAAGCGAGAGCACACAGGGGAGGGGTGAGGATAGGTAAGACACCTAAAAAATTAGCTAGCATTTGTTGCCCTTAACGCAGAGAAACTAAAGCAGATACCTTAAAAGCAACTGAGGCCAATAGGAAAAGGGGACTAGGAACTAGAGAAAAGGTTAGATCAAAAAGAATTAACCTAGAAGGTAACACACATGCACAGGAAATCAATGAGAGTCAATGCCCTGTATAGTTATCCTTATCTCAACTAGCAAAAACCCTTGTTCCTTCCTATTGTTGTTTATACTCTCTCTACAACAAAATTAGAAATAAAGGCAAAATAGTTTCTGCTGGGCATTGAGGGGGTGGGGGTAGAGGGAGGGGGCGGAGTGGGTGGTAAGGGAGGGGGTGGGGGCAGGGGGGAGAAATGACCCAAGCCTTGTATGCACATATGAATAATAAAATTAAAAAAAAAATCGTAAAGATTTTAATAAAATACATTAGGAAGATTTCATTTGCTATCGATGTAACTTCCTTATCTATGCTATGTTTTACCACACATTAGTGTACATTGCTTATGTTCTTTTCAGTGCCCAAAGTAACCAATTACATAGTCTCTAGATAGCATTTAAATCCTTCCTTTATTTAACCTCCTTGTTGCTTAAAACATTTAAATTACTAGACACTTTGCTCTCTCATATGCCATATCTTTTAAGCATAAAAAGCATATGATTTAAAATTTTAATAATAAAATTATTTATGATGTGTCTACTATGTGCCCAACATTGTCCATTCAGGTCTTTTAACACACCTGTGGTAGATACTTTTATTAAGTCACTTTACAGATTGGAAAACTAAAACACAGGGAGGTCAGTTACTTATCCAATAGTACAAAGTTGAAGTGGCAAGCTAAGAACCAAAACTGGGCAGAATGACCCCATGGCCCATGATGCTCTGAATCGCTGCAGTGCTTAGGATGTCTCTGCATTGGTGTTTCTATGTCTTTGCAGGAAGATGTGAAAATGAAGTGGGGATAACCAGATACCTGAGTTCACCTTGTAGCATATTTGAGACTCCTCCAAAACCCCTTGATTAATTAATTACTAGGTTCCTCTACCCAGAAGAACAACCCAAAGATCCTGGTCCCTGGATCATAGTCCTTTACTAGAAGTAGGGAATGAGAACTCAAGCCTACCATTGGAGGAAGGGGGTCAGGAGCGAGAGCTCCATCTGCAGAGGGCAAAGGCTCTCACTAGGTACCCTATACATACAATCTAACTCTAACTCACCAGCTACCTGAGAAAAATTCACTTGTGATTTTAACATGCAAGGGAGAGGTCCTCATTTTGATGTTAGTCTTTATTCTCAAGCTTCATCCCAGGCTCCCAGGGAAATCCTGCAATGCAGAGTCTTAAGTAGGGCACTAGCCATAGTAATTCTCAGAGGTCTGCATGCATCACACAATGGGCAAAGTCTGATGCTAGCTTTGCCACCAGGTAGCCAAGAATCACTGAAAACTCCCTAAAGCCTCTAAAAGTTAACTTCACCATCGGCAAAATGGAGATGATAAATTTTGCAAAAGTGTGGTCAAGATTAAATAAGTGAATATATGTGAATGTCCAATATAATAATAGAATGTCTGAGATACAACAGATACTAAGATATGTTATTTGCCCATTTTCTTCGCTCTCTCCACCTATGAACCTACAGGTTACCTATACACTTACATTTCCCTAAAACAAATTCTCAGACTCAAGTTCCCCATGTCCTTGACTGAGTTTCAGGTTTATAAACTGGTAGTGGATTAACTGCTATGAGGCCCAGGAGTCAGGAGGAGACCTTCCAGCCTCCTATGTGACTCTCCTTACCCCATTCCCATATCTGCACAGTCCTGGATCAGATTTAGTTATAGGACATTCTTAGAAATGCATTTCTCTTGTAGGTAATAATCCCATGAGCTTACTAAGAGGGCTCTCTAGGCCCTCTCACACCCTCTTAGTAACCAGAGATCCATATAAGTCTCATCTCATCCCCTGAAATGTTCCAATCACTGTTTTCCTGATAGATGATTCAGCCATAGCAGTGAAGTTGGTTTAGAAGCATCATTCTGTCCATGTAATAAATCTGTAAAGAACCTGTCTTTCCTGAATATGCCCCTTTTTGGCTTCTTTTGAGAATAGTGGACCCAGTGTTTATGTGTGTAGCTTTCCTTCTTGGTGAGTTAAGTAAAATTTAATTTTTCCATTATGTCTAGTGAAGAACGTGAATTTTTAAATTTGGTGGTAGATCACACAAATTTTTGAGTTAAAATCAATATCCAAATGTCTTCTTTGTGAAATTAAACCAGTACTATATTGAAATTTCAATCATTAATTAATTTGAAGTAAGAAATTACCTTTCATTTAATGTAAAACTTTAAGAATTTTAATTTTAAAACGCTGTGCTTGAAATGTCTTTTGGCCATTAATGGTGCCACACCTCAATTATAATCCTGCTCAGTTACCAAAATTAAAGGAAAATTAAATTTATAGGGGAAAATTGTAATGGGAATTTTGTTTTCCATCACTAAACAAACATCTATTTGAACAACAAAACTATTTAACAAAACAAATTTCTACCAACTTCTATTAAAACCAAAATAAGAACAAAGAACTAAAGTTTTCATTTGCCTTTTTTTATACCTTAAATTGAGTCCCCATGTCCTCTGCTTATTTTATTTCCTCATTTACCTGCTGCTAATGAGTATCACCACTGACTAATGCCCAGCAGGGTGGGCATAGCTGTGCAATAAAAATCTGTTCGTAAATAATAAAGAGTTGCCTGTGTTATGAAATTATTACTGTATTACTGCCATGGTGAGATGTTTAATGTCAAATTGCCGTGGATTTTTATAGTGTAGTCACAAGCAAAGTAATACCTAACTCAATGTGAGAAAGATTTTTCTTTCATTTTATAAAGGAAACATTTTCACAACATAATGACTGGAGGCAAAGATATGATAAAGCAAAATGTCTAAAATATTATTTTTGACTAAAAGAACATATGACTAATATTTCTATAAAATAATTATTGTCCCAAGACTTGACACCACCATAAGAACCAGCCATTATAGAGCCACACGCAGGATATCTGTCTATGCTCTAACAGACATATTAATCCTTTCAGAGTTACCTTAAAAATACTGAGCAACACCACGTGCCAAACAGAGTACTAGCGACTTTCACATTCCTTATCTGTGTCTCTCTTTCACAAGCTCCTCTCTGTCATCCTTTGACTAATTCTCTAGCAAGGTAATGCACAGTCCCTTTAACATAACCCCTATCAGCTAAAGTCTCTCAAGAAAATTACACAGATCCCATGATACATGGTATGGAATCTACCTATAAAATGCTCTCGATAAATGTCAGTTCTCTTCCAACCTCAGCCCCATCTCCACCTTCTGCTTGAACAATCCCCTTCGTGTAGAAGTTTTGTTTTTCATTAAACACTGTTGACATCCAAATATCCTGGAATAAGCCTGTCTTCTTTATCCTAGATTCATGCTATTGGAATGAGCCAGCATAACAGAAGGAACCTGGATCTGAAGTTAAGTAAACTAAAGCTGTTCAATAGTATGCAAGTCACTTCCCTTTCCTGAGACTTAGCATCTTCTTGCTAAAGTGAAAATAAAATAGAAATAAGAATTACGGTCTTTCTGGATCATCATAGGAAAAAATAAGGGCTAGGGCTATAGCTTGGTAGCAGAGCACTAAGATGTAAAAATAAAGACTCTTTCCTTAAAGGTCTAGGGGAAGGCTTGGCATATACCACAAATCAAAAAGAAAAATAAGAGGTTTTTGGTTTTTTTTTTAAATTAATCATTTAGTGTTCTCCAGTCAAAGAGAACAGGATTTGCACTCATGCTTCTAAGAAAATCTCCAAACTCCCCATGTGAATAGAGTAAGAGTTCAGGGGTAACTGTGGGGATGTGGGTTTTCTAGGATCCAAGAACATAGCAATGCGCTCAAGGTCCTCAGAGGACCCTCTCCTTCTCTCTCAGCCTCTGCAAGAGAACATGGTCCTGCTGACCTTGGCTTTGGTTCAAGAGTCAAAAGGCCATGGTAAACCATCAATAGTTGTAACTTCATCTACTTCCCTTCTCTCTGATCAGAAGCACATAACTGACAGGCTATGTTCTTCTAACAGTGAGTTAAACTTAAATATGGGGGTGGCAGAGCAGAGGTTGGGCTTCTATCTTAAGTCTGAGAAATCTTTACTTAGACTACTTGGACAGCAATTCTGGGTGCATATGTGTCACTCGGAACAAGGTGGCAGGAGAAGCCACATTAAGGTGGGTCACAACTGCTCCTACTGTGTGACACCATCCCTCTGCATTTAAGGGACTTGGTCCTTCTATGAGAGGGTCTCTTCCACTCAAACTCACAACTCATTTGAACTTGATTCAGGTAAAAAACCCAAAAGCCTTGAAACCATTCTCAACTCTCTCCCTCCTTCTCTCAGCCAAAGGACACCCAGGTCTTCTTTGTGTCCCAGCAACAGATTATTTCTACCTTATTCTTTTTTTGCTCCACCCTTTTTTTGCTGCCTTAAATCTTTATGACCTGCCAAATTGTTCCAATAGTCTCTCCTGGGCTCTGTCTCTCAGAACCTCCTCTTCTCCATCCTAAGTGTCTCCTGTGAGAACTGATCTTCCATGAGGAAAATATGGTCACAGCATTCACTCAGCAACTTCAGAGTTATTGGAAAGTCAACCACATCCTTCATACCTGGGCCCTTCATACCCTCAACCCCTGCCAGTCACAAACACCCCACTAGGGCCCTGAATGCATCATGGGCTACCATGCTCACTCTCGGACTTCATCTCTCCCCAGTCTTGACTTTCATCAATTTCACCAGCTGCACACACTTTCTTTCTGTTCCTCAAACATGGCACATTCATTGCTGCCTCATGACTCTGTGCCTTTCCTTTTTCTCCTGAGTATTAGCACAGCCCCGTTGTCACTCAGATTCGATGCAATGCTCTCTTCTCAATGAACTACTAAGTCATCTCACGTTCTAGCATGAATGTGTGTTTTGCTTCAGAGAAACAAGAACAATCTGAAATCAGTGTGTTCACTTACAGTCGATCTTCATTACTCACAGTAGTTATGACCCGTAGTGAGTCCATGAACACGAATTAACAGATGTTGAGCTGTGTGTCTGTGAGAAATACGAGATTATACTCCTACAAGCCTCTAGACACAATGTTTTCATCAAACAAATAATATATAACTTTGTTCTATGTGGTTTTCTATTTAACAACACTTTTTTTAATAGTACTAGGGTTCAAACTCAGGGTTTTGCACTTGCTAGACAGGCATTCTACCCACACCCCAGCCATTTTTGCTTTAGTTACTTTTCAGGTAGAGTCTCTCATTTTTTGCCTGGGCCAGACTGGAGCACGATCTTCCAACCTACATGCGGCCCATGTAGCTGGCATGTCAAGCCAGGTATGCACAACCATGCCTAACTTTATTGGTGGGCTTTTGCTAACTTTTTGCCCCAGCAAGCCTTGAACTTCAACCTTCCCAATCACCACCTCCTGAGTAGCTAGTATTATAGATGTGAACCACTGCACCTGGCATAGGACTCCTTTTTAATACATATTTTGATTCATTAATATTGCACTCAAGGCACTAGCACTGTAACTCATCCCTGAAGGAGGTTTGCCCAACAGAGTCACTTTCTCTATAAGGCATATTGCAGCCTTCCCATGGTTTGAAATAACTAATTACCCTTAACCACTATACTGGGAGAAAGGTAGTTCAGAGAAAAGTACAGAAATGCAAAAAAATATATATATGGCAGTAAGTAGAGCCACAAAAGGACCCTTATTTATAGTACAACAGCTAAAACCAGAAGCAGAGCGTCCCATTGTTCAACCTCAGCTAGGAACACGTGTTGAAGAGCGCAAATATTTTGGTTCTTGCCACATGTTTATGAACGACTTCAGACCATATATCAGGATTACAGCAAACTTCAGCATGTAGATGAATCCACAAATACAGAATCTGCAAGAAGCAAGGCCTGACTATATTTTCTTCTCATGTACCTATCCTCCCTTTGCTTTTAGACAGCTCCATGAGACTACAGGTTGTACTTAGTCTTTTTTCATTGTTGCTCTCCCAACAGATGATTAGTGCCGGATAAACAGTCACTGAATGGCGTAGTGAGCTGATACTATTTCCTTCTGCCAAGAAAAATTTTTCTCTAAATCCCATTCAAACACTTTTCTGTTCACATTTCAAAAGCAATCTCCCTTATCCCCTAGCCATAGTTATGTTTTGCTCATAGGTTCCCCAAGCCTCCTATCTCTATCATAATACTTATCCAATTATATTTTAATTATTTATTTACTTAATGGTCTTTCTCACTAGATCTTGATTCTCTATGGGCAGGACCTGGTTCATAATTATCTTTTTATCCTCACACTGAAGCTCATGGCTGACATATATTAAGCAATTAATGAATGTTTGCTTAAAATACAAATATTTATAGTTCATAAAATCTTTACCCTGTCCCAAATTTTCAAATATACTACTTATCCAAAGGGTAGGGATACCATCACCATCACCTTTTAATGACAAATTATTTTTATCATTTTACTTTTTTAAAGAAAAGTCATTTGTGCATCCATCATTAAATCTGTACTTGCTTAAGATCCACTATCATGGCTATCTCTGGAGTTTGTGGCTTATGCTTCTAAAGCGAGCAGGATTTCCTAACATTGAAAGATGCTGGTTATTGAGGAGAAATTAGTAAAGTAAAATGCAATAAAAACCTCCAGAAAACATCAAGCCAGCTATGAGAAAGTTTACATATTTTTAGACTTGGCACATAGAGCTTTGATAATTTTGTCAAAGTAAAATAAGTTGTATACTTCATAAAAGTGATATTACATTCATAGGCTGAAATATGAATCCAGCATTTTATCATTATCTATGGGATTAAGCCAAACACCCCTGAATTCAATCTGTATTTTACAAACCTCCAAGCTGGTAGAGTCACCACTTCCATGTAAGCCCCGTGTAGTCTTGCCTAGAAAGCCTCTTTGCCACCACTCACCTACCAGCTCCTATACATCCTTCAAGACCCAGACCAGGCTGAATGTTTCATGTGCACCCACACATAGCCATACATTTATAGGACAGAATTATCTAGAGCTTCTGCCAAACTAATAGCACTCAAGAAGTGTCTGGAGGTCAGTAAGTATTGCTCAAACGTGGGCGTGAATATAAAGTTAAGTGATACAATAGTAAAATCTCTATTCCATGATAATGAAATGATAGCCCGTGTTTATGACGTCAATAATACTAACCCTCCCTGAATATGCAAGGCAACTCACTGTTGTTTTCTGCATAAATCCTTATGACAGGCATCAACTCAAAAAGCACTTTCGGTTTTGATTCGATGAGTTTCGTGTTCCTTTTGTCCCAACCAGCACCTTCAAGATATAAGCCGTAGACATAGACACCTTCTGTGGGAGGGAAAGAAATGTCGTCCTTCATGCACTTGGTGACGTCATTGCAAAGCACCATATTGTCCAGAGCCCAGCCTTCGTTGGCCCGAGTTATTTCCTAGTTGGGGCAGCAGAAGAATGAAGGGAGAAATTGTAGGTTTATCTTAATAGAAAAATCCTTACCATAATGAAAGTTTAGATCTCAAGTACCATAATTCAAAGGTGGTAGAATAGTATTTAAAGAATTAAAAGGATTTACTCATAAAAAAAAATACTCAAGTCCTAATTTAACCACTTGTACTTAAAAAAAAAACCTATGAAATTAAATACAAAAATAAGAAATAAATACTTTTGAAATTCAAGCTAGCATCCTGGGAATAGTGGTTGATTTACATCTGTGACAATGTAACTGCCAGTACCAAACAGATACAGTCAATCTCTGTCTTATTATATTCCTTCAAACTACGACAAAAGAAGAAAACCTTGTGTTACAATAACAGAAGTACAAATCAGAGTTATTACCTGTTTCACTGCAGTTAAAAACCCTTGGGGATTGAAGAAGCCTGCCATCCAGAAGCAGAGGGGTCGGCCGCTGAAGATCCAAGATGTAAGCTGGCTGCTTCTTTCCAGAAGCTCAGAAAACCAGAAACCCAGAGTACTCGAAACCCAGGATGCCTGATGTGCAAACATTAAAGCAGTTCATTGCTCTTGGATTAAATCAGCCGTTTAAACTGAGCATGCTCACTTTACAAAAGATGAAACACAAATTTCACTTTTACAATGAAAATGTTCTCAGGTCACCAGTGTCCCTTGAAGTTTGACATACCGGATTTTCACATTGTTCTTTCTCCTTCACATCAATGATATAAAGGTATGACAGAACCAGCTAACCATTATATGAACACAGAGCGTCAAGATGTCTGATGTTAACAGAATCACCAAAATATTTAATATATCCAGTATATTCATCATCAATCTTCCTATTGATTTATGTAGTAAATTTGCCAGGCTCCTAGCACATTTTTAAGTGACAATTTCAATGGATAAAGCACAAAACACAATTTCTATTTGCATGAATAGGCTCATAGCATCACCAAGATAAATCAACATTTTAAAATATATTCTGTACACAATAAATCATAGAAACCTTTCTCTACATATTTTAATGAGGTAAATGACAATTATTTTCTTGTGTGTATGTCCCTTTAGAATGCTCTTTCATTTCCTCTCATTAAGGAGAAAAAATAGAAACCCAGGTCCCCATACCATCCACAAATGATTTGCATTCACTGCCTCTAAGTTTCTCCTTGAATTCACTTGTGGAATTTCCATTATGCCAACTGGCGTGGATGTCATTAATGTCAGCAGCAGCACGAGTAGGTATCTGCAAATCATAGATTATAACATTCTACTCTAACTGCAATATTTTACATGTGAAAAAATGTAGTAATCAGCCTGGGTAGGTATACCAATTGAATTTCAAAAACCTCAACAATTAATTTGCCTACATTTCTAGAACTACTGTGAGTCCACTGACTAAAGATAAGTTGAGTAGAATAAAAACATGAATAAAATGATCACTTCAGAATTAAGTAACTTATTCTATTCTATCTTTATAGGTATATGAACTAAAAGAGCTCAGTCCTGCTTCTCTTGGGTGCTGGCAGAGCCGGGTGGGCTACTTTAGCAGGGAATGAGCTTACAATAGCCAATGACCTGGAAGATTCTCCCTCTGTTGTTGGCAATGAGAAGGGGCAATCAGAGAGAAAACTCTGACATTGGCAGTGAATTTATGAAAGACTTGAAAGCTTCTAGACAAAGCTGGCTCTGTTTCCAAGTGATGTGATGGTGCTAGAAAGTATGATCAAGTAAGACGGAGAAGATAACAAGTAGTCCTAGCTGCTAAATCCTGCCTGCAGGACCCACTGCCTTAGAATCTGCAAAAGTCCTAGCTGAGACATCTGAGGCTCAGCACCAAACAAATCTTTTCTGAGACTAACAATTCTAATCCTAACAAGTGTCACCTTCATATTTACCTAAATAACTGGCAGAGGGCCAAGCCTCCAGGGACCCCCTTTATCTCTATATGCTATCATCTCTGTATATCCCCCATTATGGCCTGATCCCAGTCCACCTGCCCTCCCAAGTCTGACCACTCTACTTTTAAGTGTCTTCAGTGCTATGAGCAGAAAACGCCTCTAGATTCTCCACCTCTTCCCTAAACATTCCCTTCACTTGTTCTCTTAACTGAAGTCAGTTTCCCCCAGGAGAGACTGCTTCCTTGTTGGCCTCCCAACATGTGAGCTCCAACTTTCCTCACATACCACAGAACCAGGGGAGGGAAAAAGTCCTTGTCCTTTCTGACTCTTAGCATCAGGTCTTCGTTTTGCATCATTCTCTTCCTTTGAGTCTCATGCCATCTGCACATGCCATCCATATGCTTTTTGTCACCTAATGACCATTCCCTGTTAGTAATCCTACCCTTTTAGTGATCCTGGTTTACTCTTCCACTCAATCCCCAAATAACCACGATGACAACATTGGGGATGGTTATAATGACGGGAGTGAGGAAGTACTACAGGTGGTAATGGTGGAGGAAACACTGATGGTATTAGTGGTTGGTGGTGACAACGGTGCAGTGATAGGGGTAGATGTGGTGGTAATGGCAGTTGTGGTGGTGGTGGTTATGGAGTTATACTGGCAGGGCTAGTGTTGGTGTGATTTTGCTAATAATAATCACAAGCTCTTACATAGTACTACCCATATGCCACATACTGTTCAGAGCATGTTACATTCATCAACTCATTTAATCCTCACAAAATGCTAGAAATGGCATAATGCGATTTTTCCATCTCACAGGTAGGGAAACTAAGGCATAGCAAGCAAGTCCCAGGTTGCACAGCGTGGATGAAACATTATTTGAATGCAGCTGTTCTGGCCCAGAGTCCAAACTCGCACCCATACAGGTATTTATTTACTTCACATCATTTTATAAAATATCGACATGTGAATTACTTACTTAACATCTTACTTTTTTAAATCTCATAACCTTCCAATCCTTACAGCACCTTCTGACCATTCCTTTTCATTCCCCTACTCTCACATTCACACTTTAAATCTTGTCATCTTTAAACACTGTCCTGTGGAGAGGAAGGTTTTCTCCACTCCTTTATTTCCTTTCATGGGAGACAGCTCCATTTACCTAGCAGTCCAGGTACCCCTACCTCTTCACTGTCTCACACAAAGACAGTGAAGAAACTGATGTGACTGGCAACTGCTCGGAGACAGGTTAGGCTCATCAAATGTGCCATGTTCCCCTTGTACACTGTGTGGTTAAGTTGAGTACATGGACCATGAGTAGAAGGGACCTGGGTCATCTCATGACCAAGAAGACTAGACCCAGGATGCCTTGTCTATCTTACCTCTTCCCTCTGCTATGATGACTTTCGATACATCCCAAGAGGCACAGCTCTCAAATGTCAAACCCTCTACCAGGTGGGTCCCAGAGTAACTGTAGAGCTGAGGACCCACCTGCCTTGTGAAGAACATATAGCAGTGGGGAAGTGTTGTGATGACAGCACCTTAACTGTGTATCATTAACTCAGATATGAACAACCGGTGGTTAGAGAAGTCACAGCAACAGAAGGAAAGGTGGAGATACCTATTAGGAGGCCTAGCTCTTCCTCTTTTTCTTTTAAGACTAGAATATCTGCAGGCAACACACAGCTGCTCCTACATGCTATTGCTTAGCAGAAGGGTCTCTTCAGGAGAAGTTGTCCAGTGCAGTGCTACTGTTCAGCAAATCTGTCTAATTCTAGGTTCTATTTTAGGAAATTCACTTGTCCTTTATCTCAGCTTTATCAGCAAATATTCTCCAATCTTCCTATTCCTTGTCTTCCTCTTCTTTTGGATTCCAGGTAGAGAAGAGAGCTAAATGTTTAGTCCCAAAATAATCCAATATACACCAATCCCAAGATCTCAATTCCATGTTTTAGTCTCCATTTCTAATTTACTTGTTCAAAGACAGGTTTTTTGACCTAAATATGGTCTCTGACTCTTTGTTTCCATCACTTTATCTCCATCCATACATTCGTTACACTTTTACCAATGCAAACAGCCTCTACAATCTAACTCCCTCTCCATCTGTTGTAGGTTGAATTATGTCCCCTCAAAAAAATATATTGAAGTACTAACTTGTATTATCTAAGAACTTGACCTTATTCAGAAATATGATCTTTACAAAGATAATCAAGTTAAAATGAAATCACTAGTACAGGCCATAATACTACCAATGTCCTTATAGGAAAAAAACAAAGAAATTCTTGATGCAGAGATGGACAAACATGGAGGGAACACGATGTGAATATATGCAGGTGGAATACAATGCAAAAATGGAGGCAGAGATTGGGCTAATGTAGCCATAAGCCATGGAATTCCTGGGGCCACCCAAAGGTGGGATGAAGCAGAGAAAGATGTTCTCGGGTTTCTCTTGGCCATACCAACAACTTAATCTTGGACACAGAGCATCCAGAACTGTGAAGAAATAAACTGTTGTTTAACTCATCCAGTCAGTCGGACTTTGTTGTGTTAATCCCAGAAAAGAAATATATCTTCCACTGCAGTTGCTTGGTGTGTGACTGACAAGGGACAACCTCAGTCATTTACCTTTCCCAAGCCTGCTACTAGGCAGGGGAGCACAGCTGGAGGAAATGCACAACTGTGCAGGCAGGTTTTAGTTTGCATTCATACCTTGAGGCCACAAACAGGTGAGCTCTTCAATTTCCTACCCCTGCATTTATCTCAATTTTCTTTTTTTCTAACTTTGAGGTATGGCAGATCATTTGCAATATAAAGTGGAATTGAAGTGAAAATCTCAAAAACAGAAGCATAGGAGAGCGAGCTGTCTTCTCATGACTTGCTGGGCTCATGCTATGTATGTGAAGTCACCCCCAGATGATGGCAGGGATCCGATGGCGAGGAAGTCAGGTGGCAGATCCACAGGTTCTCAGGAAATATAGAATATTTCCTGAGACGCACCCCCTACTCTTTTTCCAAGTACTTCCTTGAGCATAGTTAGCCTTAGCAATTTCACTTACATCTCCCTACAAAATGGGCACACACACACACACACACACACACACACACACACACAACTACAACACAAAGAAAAGGGTATCATTCAGGCTCTATCCTCTCAAATGTCTTCCCTTAAAACACTCATTTCCCTACCTACAAACATCTCAGGCATTAATTCTGCTTTTCCAAGAGTAAAAATATTCCTTAAAACTACATTCCTCTTGAGCATGATTGCAGATAGCCAGTCAGGAAACTTGCTTTGCATTACGATCTTGCTTTTTTGAGATAGATATGCTTCATACTATATTTACAGACACACTAGGGAATTTTCTTTTTTATTTTTACATGACTTTTAATAGTCACACATGTCTAAGCACAGTTTCCCCTACAAAACTAACATCATGGGTTTTGGAGTCCAAGAGTTTGGGCTTAAATTCTTCTTCGTTCACTTCTTACAAGTGTGATCAGAGAGAAGATTTAAACTTTCCCAACCTCAAGTTCTTCATCTAAATAGTGAGGACAATGAGATGCAAGATTTCAATGAGTTGAGTGTGTCAATTGCTTAGTACAGCATCTGATACATGGATATGCTAAATAATTTCCTTCCCTACCTACAATCTACATATCCAGGCCTTTTAAAGGATTATTAGTCCATAAGCAAAAGAAAACATTTAAATAAATTATTCTTATGTGTCTTCCACTTACAATTACAACTATTCACAATGATGAGTGATTACACAGAATATAAGCAAGACTAGACTTACTTTTCTCCACTGAGCAGGGATTCTGGCATCAAACATGCAATCCAATGCATCTCGCAGATTTTCACTCATGATAATGGTGCCATCGATAGCAAGTTTTAGCTCAGTCAGGGTGCTGCGGACAAGGCTAAGCACCCTCTGCATTCTGTCTATCTCCTGCCTGAGGAAAATGTTCATTGGTTGGAAAGGCCCCATCTTCTGCAGCCTCTCTTTCACCTGCCATGAAGACATTCAAAGCACATGCTAAAAATTAAAGAGCTAGTAATGATTTTAATGGAGCTGATGTCTGAGGCTCTGAACGGGCCAACATTTTTTTTAATTCCATAAATAATAAGTTTTTTTCAAAGGAAGAATTAATAAAGAAAATATCTGGTCTATGCTCAACCCAAATTTTCATACCATGTAGGAAAGAACACACAATCGTTCATTAAAGAGATACTTTAAATGCAAATCACAACTAAATAGCAAATACACTTACTCAACATATTCACTTACTCTCAATCTGAGTGCTTCCACACACATGTGTGGATAGACACAGGTAGCCATGTACATACACTTAATCATTCTGCTGGCTGTCTCAAAAAACTAGACTTCTAGTTCAAATGCTTCCAGGTTTTTCCATCAAAGCAGTCATCCAGCCAGCCAGCCAGCCAACCAGCCAGCCATGTGTTTCCACTCTAGAAGTATTTACACAGAACCTTCTATATAGCAGATATTGTGCTAGGCTGAGTTGCTTTATCCTAAGGTGGCACTGACAAATTCAGCCAAGGAGAGAGTCTCTTCTAGTCTAGAACTATGCTTAGTTTTGTAATTTTATGCTATTTATAGACATTTTAAGTGCTTCATAAATATGTCAACCTATGATAGATGTGAATGTCCTCTCTCTTGATCCTACAATGAAGAAATCATATGAAAGCTGATAAAAGTATTGATTTTCTCCAAGCAAGTCATCAGAGATGCTTCCATGGAAATTATTCTCTTAACAATAGGTCTTAGAGTTCAGTGTCTGCTATTAGCTAGCAGCTAAAGTTTCCTCATGTAGGATGCTGAAGACACAGAATGCTATAGGAGATTTTTGAAACCAGGTGGAAAAGGACTATATGCACAAAACACACACACACACACACATGCATACACACACACACACACACACACACACACGTGCTTCAGAACCTCAGAGGAAAACTCAAGAAAAACCCACCAGCAAACACTTGTAATTTGATAATACATATTAACATTCTTATCAGGTTTCTTTATTGGATTTTGAAATAATTACACACATGAATTAAATTTTTCTTCTTCTGGTTCACTAAGAAACTTATTTTTGAATTTTTTTTTAATTTCAGAGAATTACTTTTTGCCTTCCTTCCTTCTTCCTCATTCTCCCAGAACCAGACACATTCACAGCTGATATTTTGTCAGGATTTCTACTCACTTCGAAAGGGCTGTAGTCTGGGGGTAGTTTCTCCAGCATGTCATCAGCCAGGCGGGCTACCACAGCCTCCCGGGTCTCATCCCCTCCACCAGAGCTGTCCTTGGGTTGAATGCCCAGGATGGCATCCAGCACACCCTTGGCCAGCTTGCTCTGGTAGGTAATGTCAGCATTGGGGTGTAGCCCAAACACCTCTGGGCTGTCATAGGCAGGCAAACTCTGAACAACAAACATCCCAATCAGAGACTGCCACATAAGCACCAGTTAAACTATATTGTCTTAGAAAATAAAAAGTGCTTTACTAGGATAAGCATTTACATTTGTCTTATTTGTCTCAGGCTACAAACCTCAATAATTTCACCAAAACACAAAAATTTAGTTTCCTGAAAAAAAACATTAACACTGAGAAACATAAAATAGACTCATGGTTCACTAAGACCTACACCACAAGTAAAATGTAATCAGATACTGTCATGTATAATATGTGAGATATGAAAGTATCTGTGAATTGGTGTTTTGTTTTCTGATAGTCAAATCTAATTCAAACCAGTTAAATAAATGGTTATTTTGTTTATAACACCCAGTAAATGACTTCAAGCATGACCCAAAGCCCACAGGTAGGAGGTGTACTCTCCCAGAGTGAAAGACTAAGGCTAGGAAATATTGAGAGAGCAACTGAGAAGAGAGAAAACAAAGTTATGGAGAGCCAGAGGCAGCCAGAATCAGAGCAAGTAGGCAACAAACTTCTCAACCACTGGAAAAAGAAAAGTCACAATTTGACAAACATTCTATGTAAGAATCTTACACTAAACTCTGCTACTGTCTTATTCATACTTTTCCTTCTCCCTTATTTTATTCATTTTTACATAATATATCTTCTTATGAGCTACCTCAATTTCCTTGTGAACAGGTGTCCTTAAATTTGTATCTTCTCCTGCACTTTTCCTATTTACTAATTGTGATTTAAAGACACATCCAGTACAATGAGACAAATATATTTATTGTTCGAATTAATAAAAATGTAGAGGTGATAATATATGATAAAGTCATTACATTTATGTATCAAAAACCCTATAAATACACTGATAAATTTAGCACTTTGGGGATGTTGTGCTTTAGTTTGTTTACTCTGAAATAAATTTTAGAGGCCAAAGAGACTGCTAAATCACAATCTAATTAATTCAAGGTATACAGATAGAATGTAGTTTTCTTGAAAATCGGATTTTTCCCCAACATATTTCCAAGTTTCTTGTTAAAATCTACCTTTATCCCTTCTTAGAGCAGTGTTTCTCAACAAGGGGTAATTTTACCCTCCAGGGATCACTTGTCAATATCTGGAGGCATTTCTGGGTACAAAAACTGGGTACTAGTGCTACTAGCATCTAGTGGGAAGAGGCCATGGATGGTGACAGACATCCCACAATGCACAGGACAATACCCACAACAAAGAGTGATGTGGCTCTCCATGTCAATACTGTCAAAGTTAAGGAATGCTTTCATAAAGGAAGCACTTATACAAAACATTTTCCTAGACACTCTGTCCCTGTGCTGTCCATTAGACCTAGATTAGGAGCAGACATCATAGGTGAGTCAAGTCATTTGGAAAATGGAACATGTTGACTCTAGAAGTTGTTCTTGCCCTACAACTGAGGTAGCTGAAGGCAACCTATCATCTCCCAAAGAAAATTTCTCACTTTGGCATTAAAAGAGAAGGAGGTGGGGAAAGAACTCATAAAAAGCACAGATAGAATAAAGATAAACAATTTAACCAAGGGAACATAAAAATATGAATAAACCATCTGCAGCAGAAGCTTTGTGTATATATCACATTAAAATTTATTTTTTTAAAAAGAACAAACTGTGTAAACAACTCTCAAAAAGGGCTGCAAATATTTTTCTCTGTGCACAAAATTCTGAAGTTGACAAACCTGAATATATTGTAGATAATTATCCACCGTGCTGCATTTTGGAATATTGTATCCTTGGTAAAAGCTGAAATCTGGCCCAAACATGTTTTCACTGAACCAAACCTTTGCAAATGTGTTCAGCAATCTCTTATCATAGTCGTCAGTGACTCTACCTCCATATTGAATCTCTCCTATCATGTAGCGGATGGTGATCCAGGAGACACCCTGGGAAAATTTATAGAACAGTTACATAGTACTATTGTCTCATCCTTATTTTCCTTGACAAGTGATATCATGAACATATGGTCATCAATGTCACGGATTCAATCTGTCATTCTTCATCAGTAATATGAAGGGTAGTGCAGAAAGAAATTAAACAGGTCAACACGAAGAATTACTCAAAGCTTGTGTTCATGCTTTAAAATAGACATTCTTTCTACATTCATGTTTTCATAGTTAAATATTAGTATTCTTAAAGATGACTTTTTGAGAATACTGAGGCAGTTCTTTGTAAAGCACATACATCAAACACAATATAGATTCTCATTTTTTAATTTTGGGAACTTTAAAAAGCAATCCCCCTGTCATTCTGTCCTCCATCCCTATAACTAGTCCTTTTTGGTTGTCTTATATGGGACATAAACTTGCCTTTGAGAAATAAAAATCATAATCAAAATGTGTCCACTTCATCCTAAAATCAAGAATCAAGTGTCTTCTCTAAGTTGTTGACTTAAAGATGATCTCCCTAAAGTACAGCCAAGCCTCACATGGTTGATCCCAAAGCTGGATGGTTAGGTGAGCTTGGCCACCCATGCCCAGAACCCCCTGACATTGGGAGACAAACACAGCATCACCTTTTTGATGTCCATGTCATCGAAGTGATTTTGGATAAACTGCACAGTGGCATTGAAGTCTGCTTGATTAAACTCATAGGGGATATTCCACCCCAGGGGACCAAACTTGCGTCTCTCCTGGATGGTGGAGTGCAGAAAGGCAACTGCGTACAACATGGGCTTCCACTGGGCCCCGGTGCTCACATCCAGCAGGTCTTGGCTCACACCTGTTGTGGTCAGTCACATGAAAGAACATATCATCTCTTATATGCACTTATTTTCTATTCTTTCTATAAGTAATTATTTTTGCAAATTTCTGACATAACTGTACCTATTTTGAATTATTTTTATTACATTCATATGATAATTATAACTTAAGCTCTGAATATCCAGAGACCATTTATCTCAGAAGATTTTGCAGCAAGATTGGGTTTCAAGAAAGGCTTACCAACATGGGTCACCTTCCTGCCAATCTAACAAGATAATGAAGACAAAACAGAGGTAGAGGGAACGTAGCAGTTAAAGTAAATACTACCAGTATAGTTACTAACTAATAATTGCTATATTATCATTATCTGGAGCCTACACTTTTAATTAACTCAATATTAATTAAAATTATGTATATAGGAGCCCGCTGAAACCCAAGTACTGACCTCAAATAGTAACAACTACTAGTGTACATAGTATACTTATTATTCAATTTTTGTTCCCATTATCCTTCTGCTTCTATTTTATCCCCACATTACCTTGTAGGTTGTAGGGATTGACTCTTGTTAGAGTCCTTGTAAATTTTTTAAGTTGACATATAAAATTACTTTATTGTTATAATTATTAAATGCATTATTTTAGTTATAATTTATTCCAATCTTCCTTGATAGATTTACCATCCTTATTCTGCATTAAAGAAAATTGAAACTCAGTCTGTGATGAGCACCAGGTGAACAAAGCAAGTGACAACAGGAAGGACCAAAGTCAACATTCTGACTCGAAGTTCCCTTCTCCTTTCATGGCCATGAGCCCAGAACTGATGCTAAGCAGCAGAAAAAGGAAAGACTAAAGCACAAGTTCAGCTCCAGTTGTGACTGGATGTTATCTGGTCACTTTTGTTGCTATTTTTTGTTTTTTAACTTAGCTGATGTTCTGATATGTGTGACCCTAGTGAAATGAAGGAAGCTGTAACTTTAAGTTAGACCATCCTCTTGGAAGAGGCTCCTGAATTTCTTTAGGAAAGGAACAGAAAGGTCATGAACAACAAAGTTGTTGGGTATTGATGTTAAAATAAAAAGGCAGATGTCTAGCTGGAGAACTGTGCAGACTCAAGTAGAGCAATATTGGGAAAACAGGAAAACAGAAGGTGCGAAGCCACCTCTGCTCACCAGCACTGTCAGAACATATTCCCCATGGAGCACACAAGAGGGGGTTATCACCTTCCCATCAGGCCAAAAATAGTACTGCTCACTAATTCTGCTTCTATTATTCTTTAAAAATTGATGTGCAAAAACTCCTACAGGTTCAGAAGCATTCCTTGACTCACCACCATATGTTCTTTTTAGTCCTGCCCGGAGGCCCTGTGGAGGCTCATTGGCAAATTTAATGGACATCTGAAGAAGTGTAATGGGAAACTGCCTGTGAACCTCAGTTGTCATCCACAGACGGAAAGCACCATGTACAGACTCAGTTTCTGTGATTATGTCCATTAGCTCATCCAAGAAATCAAGTCCCAGATGGCAGTTCTGCAAAAGCGCCCATCCTCCCTAAGTCAACAACAATAAATGGAAATTAGGTTACTTTTTGTTTCACCCAAATATTTCCATTTCTACTTTCTTTAAGAAGTTAGGTACCTTAAAATTTAATAGCGAAGATATTTAACAACTCTAAATATCTAGGCCAAGTGTAAGGATACAATAACGTGTAACCAAACTACACTAGGAGCTTTGTGGTTGTTGTTTTTGTTCCTTGCATTTGTCCCACAGTATACTATCATGCCAAATGTAGTAATGACCCATTATAGCAGTCCTGACAGTACACGAAGTAAATCAGAAAAAAAAGTAACAGAAAAAATGGCTGACTGAAAGCATCCAATTAGCTCAGCTCCCTCCCTAATTCCATTAAACTACAATGAAGGAATTTTTTAAAGACATGAACTCCTAATGACAAAGAGGGTGAGAATGAGAAAATGTTGGTAAATTTTAAGACAGACTGAAGAAAACTGAATCCTAACCTGGAGCTTAGGAAAAGCTGAAATGTAATCTGATTTATACCATGTAACTCCCCAAACACTCAAGAACAAGTGACAACAGGTATCTCTGGGAATGAAGAAGAGGATAATTAAAGTCCAACCCCTAGCATGTCCCTGCCTCCCCCAGTGAAAGATGGGAAGTTGATTTTCTTTAGAAGGCAAAGCAGATAGGATCTAGACTGGAGAAACCAGCACATTAGGGGGAAGGGTACCACACTGAATACATATGAAAGAAAGTTTACCTACTGAATTTTGTGACTGCTACCTGCCTTCCACTACTGAGTTCTCAGAATACTGGCAACCAGGAATATACCCTCTAGAATGTGAATAAACCTTCTCTGGGAGTTTGACTACTCTAATAACAAGAGCCTTGGAAAATAATAAGCCATATGTTTTGCATAAATTATTGTATGAGTGTAAGAAGATGTGTACATAATGCAATGCAGGCAAACTCTGGGGTCATGAAATAATAATTTCTCCAGTATCTGATCTATGGAATTTTTTCAATAAAAACATTTACAATGTCCACACCATAATCTTGGGGTGTTTTCAGAGCTAGACATTTTGCCTTACATTTGCCATGGTCTGCTGCAAGAGTTTTCGAGCATGGACCTCCTGGCCCTGGCCCATGGACACATAACGGGTTTCTATTTTTAATCTCTTTCCCAAGGCAATGATGGAATCTGTGGGGTCTGAGCCCATAGACAGAAGACAAATGAGTGGTGTCCGTGGATCAGATTCCTCCCATGTCTTTTCCAAATCCAGGATAACTCCTTCTGCATACTTTTCTCCCACTGAGTCCATGATGTACTTGCGGGCCTGCCAAAGACAGTACAAAAGTCAACAAAAGTCACTCCAGCTCCTTCATGTATGCAGTGCAGAGCAGTATGGTTTCCAAAATTCATTTTTGGAAATTATCTCAAAAATTTCCACAGTAATTCTGCCAGGGAAAGAGTTCCTTTTCTTCCTGCTTTCTGCTTATTTGTATTCTCATTCTCAGAAAGGCTGCATCACTTGACAAATACAAAATCACACAGTTAACAGTCCAGGCCCCAAGTTGAATGACTGCTGGTGTGGAGCCCATTTCAATATACAGATTGCTTTTACTATATATAAAAAATAAAAATATTAGGAAATTTTATTATTTAGGATGTGTTAAGGCAAATACATGCATTTAAATAACCACATAAGTAGCACAATGCCTGGTATTTAAATGGATATTTATCAAATAGGTAATTATTGAATGAAACTTACTGGATACTTATCCAATGAATGAATAAACTCTAGAAAGATTGAAGTCATACTCTTTCTCCTCATCATTGTCATCATCCTTTTCCCTTTTTGGTTCATTCCCTTTAACGTTAATTTTAGCTATGTGAAACTCGTGATGCATGCTGATAAGATCATAGACTGTATCAACTCCATTTTCTACCATAAAAAAATCTTAGTAACAATACCGTCTTTTTCAAGCAAAGTAGAAATAGTAATTTGCCAACAAATAGTCTTGTAAGTATGATCCTTAATCTCCTTCTCTCCCTCAGAAATAACTGGATTCCTCAAAGACAAGTTTCCTCTAATTCCAATGTCTTTTTTGTATTCAAGAGAACAAAAATCCAGATTTCTCTCCCCAGTGGGATTCCCCAGATTAATCATTCTCCAAAACAAGCAGATCCCAGTGTGTGTGAACATTAATTTTAATCCTGACAAGGGCCAAGCAGTGAGCCTCCCCAAGGCCTGCTGTAGAGAATCACAAAACAACTCAGACAGAAACTTCTCAACCAGAGAAGTTTCACATAGACCTGCACCCAAGGGAATTGAGACTGACTCAACTATTATCCTTGGTTAAAAGCATCCAGAGTTTGATTTTTGCCAGCCTTATACACTGTTCCCTCATCTTTCATGTCTTGCTCTTTATCCTCAAAATGATTGTTGTAGCCTCTGAGCACACACATTGGTATGATATTCTTCACTGGTTCTTCCTCTTTACAGGTTAGATTAGGAGGGTAGTAGCCACAAGAGGGCATTGCTCTTATTTCAGTAAGAGATGGGAAACAGGTTCCGGCTGAGTCTAGACTTTGAATGTCCAGAGTGGTTCTACCTTCTGATTTCCCCTGGTATGCAGACACTCTCCAAACAAGCTTTACCATTCACATGAGATGGTAAGGGGATTATTTTAAAAGCAGTAGCAGTGCAGTTTTCATCTTCTTATGAGATTGCAAAGAACAAAAAGACAACTGTTCCTATTCACTAACCTCACTACTCATTGGACCACTCTGCTATAATTCCCTCTAGTATCTTCTAAAGAACCCAACACTCCCCTGCATAATGTCTAGTCCACCATAGTAATGGAAGATTAAAATTCATGAATATTTGGTAAAGAACACAGGTTTTCTTGCCTTGAAAATTATTCCTCAATGACTTTAGGGAAAGGCAGACTACCTAAATTACCAAAGACCCAAGAAGTACTGGTCAGGGATACTGACCAGTGGCAATGAAATGACCAGTCAATGCCTGAGCCCCTCATACATGGAAAAGATCTTCCATTCCACCCTTCCTCTGCTTCACTAGATTCAGAGATTAACAAAGTTCTAAAGAGGTGGGATTCAATCCAGTTGGATTTGGGGCAAAAGATGTTATTTATTTTCTACCTCTCAATATTTTTTCTAGGTTGGCAAGATCCAGGAAGAAAGTCTGTAACCTGGGTCTAAATATACATTTTTCTCCAGTCTTCCGAAAGGTATTTAAAAAGTTTGCCTGACATGTTCTTTGACTTCCTCAAAAGTCTACTCTGTACATTCAGACTCACTGAAGCAGTGAGCTCTGTGATCAGAAGGAACTTCAAAGGCTGGACATGAGGCATTCTGCAGTCGCAGTTCCTTGTCAACCACAGGCACCAGCCATAACTACAGCATCTCCATAGACTCAAGTGCTTTCTACTCCAGGGTAATGAGAAGTTTCACATGGCCCAAACTGCCATACAACTCAACATAGACCCAACATGGATGTTACCATACAAGCCGTGAGCCAATGTGCTACAGTACCTGACAGGCCAGATAGTAAATAATTTAGACTTTGATGACTGAATAGTCTCTGCTCAACTCGTCATTGTAGCACAAAAGCAGCTGTCAATAACACATAAACAAATGGCACACTATGTTCCAATAAACTCCATGGCCTGGTTTGATTACTCACAATATCCTCATGTAATGAGATATCATATTGCACCCCATAAATATCTACAATTGTTTTCATCAAGCAAAATAAAATAAAACTTTAAAAACTTTACAGACACCGACACATATCAATGTCATATAATTTTCACAGCTCACAAATATTATTTTCCTTGTGGCTTTTTTTTAAGCTATTCAAAAATATTAAAAAATTCTTAGCTCATAAGTTGTGTGTAAACAGGCAGTGAGCCTTAGTTAGTCAATTCCTAGAATAGATGATAAAGAGGGCTATTTTATTTATAATGGAAATTATGACTGACTTCTGAGGATGAAATTCCTGTCTCTGAGAAAGAGACATTTCCAGACAGTCACAGCCACAGGTTACAAATCCAAGGTGTGTAATGACTTTTTGATGCAAATATGTGCTACATAAGGACACTCTGCAATTCTAGACCAGCCTCCAATGCAGTGGGCCTGGATTTTGGGCTTGAAACTAAAGCATACATGCGTGAGAAAGAGTGAGTTTCTTCATCTTCTTTACTTAACTTCCAGTGCTATCTAGGCAAAGAGGTAAGCTAGGTGGGTCAGAATGGTGAGCATTCCATCCAGTGGGCACATATGCAAAAATTTTGGAGCCAAAAAAGCAAGTCACCTCCTGGGGACAGGATACCTGGCATAATAGCTAATTCAGTGTGGGCACACCAGGCTTCAGGATGACCTGCCAATCTGTAAAAAGCTAGCACCTCATTGCATGGATGGAAACAAAGTACCATGTCTGCGCAGATGATTCTTCACCCAACTCCAAAGAAGATTTTGTTCCATCTAGTCTCAATTAAGCAGACTCAACCTTTGAGAAGAAGGAAAAATAAACTCACAAGGCTCTTCATCTGTTCTGACCTTCCTTTGTGAAATATTTTTGAAACACCAATGTGTACATAGCATTAGATACCCTTTAACAATGCAGCATTCTTGCAACCAGGCAGCACAACATTCCCTGATGTGGAGAGTCATACTCAGCCAGCCAAAATACAAAGAAGCAGTCATGACATTGGACTGAAGTTGTTATCAGGGTAGAGATTGAGTGTATCCTACATTGGAGCCTTCTAATGCGTTTCCTAAGAACTTATCTGGTAGAAAATTACAAAAGGATTCTAAAGTGGCAATAAAAACTTCAAAGGGCAGAACCTATTTCAAGAGGGGCCTCTAAACCTTGTTTAGGACCTGAGTGTTATTGTAAGAACCATGGAAAGCCATGGCCAGATATATAAAGCTGAGAAATGGCAGGTCCTTTCAATTTCTTCCAGAACATACAGGATGAACCAGAGCAGGAAAAGAGGACCAGTTAGGAGTCCATGGCTGGATGACAGAGTCAACATAAGATGACAAAGTTACCAAGGACCTTGGTAGACTTACATATTTCAGCACTGACTTCAAACTTTTCTAAAAGAAGAAAGAAAAAGAGAGTCATAGGAAGGAAGGGAGGGAGACAGAATGTGAGAGAGAGAGAAAGGGAGAGAGGAGGGATGAGAGCCAGGAGACAGAAAAGGGGAAGGAAAACTATGATTGAAACTTCTCTTCTACACTGCCCTGAAATAAAGCAACTATTTCACAATTCATTTGGGCAGGATAAAAGTAATGAAGCTGAAAAGAAAAACTGAAAGGAAAGGTGATCCCATTGCCCTGAGTAGCAAAACTCATTTTTCTTTCCTCAATAAATCATTGGATCTAGCTGTTTTCATGATTCCACGACATGTAAGTGACTTGAAGGTGGTTACTCAGTGTTTTCAACACTCTCTGGAGAATGAAGGGGAAACGGCCTACCTTCTGTTATAGACTCCAACTGATTGTACTCTCTGACTTCTCCGTGGAAGCCCTTATGAAGTCAACCTGAGCTGGATATCAGAGTCAGTTTTAATGGTGAAAGTTAAGACCCAAATTTATTCAGTGGGTAAATGTCTATGATGCCAGGCCAGCAGATTAAAGATCTTAGAAAAAAACGAATCTTTGGAGGCAAAATATATATTTAAACTTATAAAATTCAAACATTATTAGGACAACATACTTTCTTACATACGGAATTTTTTGTGTGTGTGTGATATTTTGGGGAAAAATGATGTAGGTCTGGGAATGTGTCCTTTCCTCTAAACTGCTTTCTCCCCAGTGCATCTATATTCTTCTTGTTGATAAACACTGACTTACTACTAGCAAAATACAGAACCCATGTCATGCTTGAGTTACTATAAAATTATGCCTGAAGATAAAATATTGCCTCTATGTTATGCCAATATGCCAAGCTTAGAATCATGGTTTCCTCATTTACATTTGTTGTACCACCTGGACCAAAGGAGGTTAATAAACCATTTAGCCAAATGTATACCTCAGTGCTTTATTTGTGGTTGACTTTTCCATTTTTCACATTTCTGTTGCTAAAAAAATTAGTAGAAGGTTACAAGGAAATTCTCATTGGTAATAACATTTAAAATATTTCTTTAAATATGAAGAGAAATTCTCCCTTAAAACATTCTCCTATGTGTCCTTTAAAATGCACATTTTACCTGGGCAATGGTTCTATCAGGACACCATGACCTAATAAGGAGAAGGCGTCTGAAGCAGTCCAGAGATTTATCATAGGCATTAGGAAGAGGCTCCTCCTCCGGCTTTTCCTTATCAAACCATACTTTCCACATTTTCTCATTTCTTGATATCTGCAAATACCATGGGATAAGAAATATATCATGTCACACAAAAAATCAGTAGTAGTTGACAGATATTTTTCATCAAACCTTCTGACCAGTCCAGACATAGTATGAACTATAGCCCTTTACTATTTTTTTTAATTTTATATGCTAGTCACTAAAAGTCTGGTAGTCTAAAATCAAATGTGATTTGATCCAAAGTCAATCTAAACTAACACTAGCCTATAGCTGGCTTCCAAGGTAGGAAGAGTCTTAGGATGTTTGGTTTCTTCTATGCCTTTACAGTGAAGAATAAAGAAATCAATACAGACTCATTTTCATTATTTCAAAAATGTCCGATTTGCTCCACAAAATCCTGTCATAATGAGGACCAAAACCTTATTCATTCATGTTTCCTTATTTCCTGACACAAAGTTACTTAATATTTGTTACTGAATGAATAGTATTTGGATCAATACTCTAAATAGAGCATTGGAGTAATTGAGATATACCATTTAGTATCATCATCAAAGGGATGATCAGACACCTGCTATCTTTCAGCAATTGGTAAAGAGTAAAAAGACACAATGTATTACCCTCTGGAACTTAAAAACCACAGGGAGAAAGAGGCATCACTGAGATAGCATGTCAAAAACACTGAACAAACAAATAACGTCTACAGATAAAAATCATCTTCTGGTGTATTTCCTTTGATGAAGGCCTGAAGTGTATTACTAGATCTTAGCAAAAGAAACATCATTCCAGGTTCTATTCTTTAAATCATGAAAGACTATGTAATGTGGAGGGAGGATATTAGGTCCAGAAGATAGCAACTTCTGCCCAGACAAGGTGCTTTGGGAAAGGTGTCACCTTTCCCAAATATATCTCCCAAAATAAATTTATTTAACCCAAAAATAGAGATTGAACCCAAATACATGGCAATAATAATAAGCATCACCAGTTGTAAGCCAAAATATAAAACAATTTAGGCATCTGGTGGACTTAAACTGGAAAAGTAAAGAGCCAACCATAAGACATTTCCTGGTCAAAAAAAGCATTCCACTGGTCCCTGAATAAAGCCACCACAGTGCCAGTCTCACTTCTCTGTGGTAACCTGATATTCAAGAACCTGCTTCCTGGCTTGTTCCTATTAACTCTCTGTATACAACTTCCATGACTGCAGCATATATCAGGAACTAAACAATTCTGGAAGGTTTATAACTTCTAAAGACAACAGATCAAGTGTCATCATGAAGTTCATATCTGGATGCCTAAGACAATGTGATGGGAGGAGCAGAAGAGGAAGGAGAAGAGGGAGAGACAAAAGGAAATTTAATATTTAAATGGAGGCTCTTCACGTTCATTTTCATTTATTCTCTAGAAAGAAGACACAGTTTTTAAGTATGTGTGATCATTCAATCTACTTGACTCTATTAACCTTCCTACACATAGACATTCACTTGGTGATACTGGCTTGTGGCCCAAGACAGGAACCAGTTAAACTTCCTGGGCATATTTCTTTCTGCACAACCAGTCTGCAGTGGGTGCAATTGCTTTATCAGTGTGGTGAGCTGCAAGAAAGTCAAGCATATGCAATGCCATCATCAAGAGTGATAATATTAAATGTCACAATGAAACCCCCTACACAGCTATTATATAATAATAAAAACATTAAAGAAAAGAAAAAGAGTGACAATATTAAGAAACCTCTCTCCTCCACAAATACGATGGCTAGTGATAAATCAGAAAGCTTCTCACCATGACATTAGCTTAAATGTATTCACAGAACAAGTTACCTGATCAAGGACATCTGAAAACTGTCTAAGTTTGCTAAGTTCCACCAAATTCAGCCAAGTCATGTCCAGGATCCATTTTGATGGTTTTGGAGGACAGGTTTTAAGATCCAGTGAGGCACCACCTTTAAAATTAAACATATAACTCTACCTGATTTTTCTTCTTTAAAGAAACAATATACCTAGTAAATTTTTGCTTAAAATTTTTTAATTATAATTATTTTACTATTTGGAACTTCTGAGGCACAAAATTTTAAGAAGTAGTAAAGAACATGCTTTAAAATTGAGCAAATGAATAGATGATTTTTAAAAAACACATTCAATAATTAGCAATATAGCCTAGAAAACCACAGATGCTGGATTCTAGCTCCACCTGGCTAAGGTCTAGGATAAGTCATCTTATCTGTCTGGGCCTCTACTTCTTCTATTGTAAAAAGGGAATAGTGAAGTCTGAGTATCATGATATAAATGCATAAACTGCATACACAGGATTGAGGGCATATCAGTGGTTACTGAATGAGCACCTATTGTCAAATGAAGAGTGGCCCAATATTGGCATAGCTAATTTTAAATGGAGAATTTGCCTGTAAATGTCAGTAGCGTTAGATGTGTTTAAAGCATTCTCTTCAACAAACATGTTTATTATTTACATCCCTGTTGATCTCTGTGCTACATCAGCTATATTTGGTCAATCTAACTACAACAAAAATTTTTATTTGGTACTCACACCCACCTTTTCACTCATAAATCATCTAAGTTCACCCAACTCACATCACTCTTCCAGCACTAAAATATAAATACCATCTTAAAAATATTATTGTTGCCATTTCATAAAAACTCAATAGGTAAGCAATAGTACTTAAAATCAAAGAAAGTGTTGGGAAAGTTTCTGTAAGGTAAACTACCTAATAAATAACATCCATTAAAGTAGTTCAGGGAAAATATGCTGTAAGCATTACTCTTAAAAGGATAACCAGTCCATTTGGCCACCTTTAAAACAGAATAGGTTATAAACAAATAATTATACTCAAGAGAGTTATTGAGCCAAACTCTGTCCAGGCACCACAAGCACCACTGAATTGTTATCTTTTGCCAAATTCATCTTAGTATATTTACAAGGTGAATGTGGCCATGAATCCATTTCAATGAATACATTAGCTCATAAAATCAAAACATATTGTTTTAACTCCAGGGAATAGTTAAAGACCTAATGACAGTGCCATTGTGTCGAATAAATGTTGGCCAATTTCCATGGCAACTGCTCATTTTCTAGCCAACTGAAAAGAATGAGGTACTCACCAGTGGATTAAGGAAAGGTTATTCTTGGAAAAGAAAGGTTGTCCCTTTCACACCAAAGCATTGTCCAATGTTTAGAGGAAGGCAGCTATTCTGTGAATATCTTTTTTTTTTTTTTTTTTAGGGTCTAGGAATCAGAATTTTATTTTTTTTTCATTTTTCTTTTATTATTCATATGTGCATACAAGGCTTGGTTCATTTCTCCTCCCTGCCCCCACTCCCTCCCTTACCACCCACTCCACCCCCTACCGCTCCCCCCCTCAATACCCAGCAGAAACTATTTTGCCCTTATCTCTAATTTTGTTGTAGAGAGAGTATAAGCAATAATAGGAAGGAACAAGGGGTTTTGCTGGTTGAGATAAGGATAGCTATACAGGGCATTGACTCACATTGATTTCCTGTGCGTGGGTGTTACCTTCTAGGTTAATTCTTTTTGATCTAACCTTTTCTCTAGCTCCTGGTCCCCTTTTCCTATTGGCCTCAGTTGCTTTAAGGTATCTGCTTTAGTTTCTCTGCATTAAGGGCAACAAATGCTAGCTAGTTTTTTAGGTGTCTTACCTATCCTCACCCCTCCCTTGTGTGCTCGCTTTTATCATGTGCTCATAGTCCAATCCCCTTGTTGTGTTTGCCCTTGATCTAATGTCCACATATGAGGGAGAACATACGATTTTTGGTCTTTTGGGCCAGGCTAACCTCACTCAGAATGATGTTCTCCAATTCCATCCATTTACCAGCGAATGATAACATTTCGTTCTTCTTCATGGCTGCATAAAATTCCATTGTGTATAGATACCACATTTTCTTAATCCATTCGTCAGTGCTGGGGCATCTTGGCTGTTTCCATAACTTGGCTATTGTGAATAGTGCCGCAATAAACATGGATGTGCAGGTGCCTCTGGAGTAACAGTCTTTTGGGTATATCCCCAAGAGTGGTATTGCTGGATCAAATGGTAGATCGATGTCCAGCTTTTTAAGTAGCCTCCAAATTTTTTTCCAGAGTGGTTGTACTAGTCTACATTCCCACCAACAGTGTAAGAGGGTTCCTTTTTCCCCACATCCTCGCCAACACCTGTTGTTGGTGGTGTTGCTGATGATGGCTATTCTAACAGGGGTGAGGTGGAATCTTAGTGTGGTTTTAATTTGCATTTCCTTTATTGCTAGAGATGGTGAGCATTTTTTCATGTGTTTTTGGCCATTTGAATTTCTTCTTTTGAGAAAGTTCTGTTTAGTTCATTGCCCATTTCTTTATTGGTTCATTAGTTTTGGGAGAATTTAGTTTTTTAAGTTCCCTGTATATTCTGGTTATCAGTCCTTTGTCTGATGTATATTGGCAAATATTTTCTCCCACTCTGTGGGTGTTCTCTTCAGTTTAGAGACCATTTCTTTTGATGAACAGAAGCTTTTTAGTTTTATGAGGTCCCATTTATCTATGCTATCTCTTAGTTGCTGTGCTGCTGGGGTTTCATTGAGAAAGTTCTTACCTATACCTACTAACTCCAGAGTATTTCCTACTCTTTCTTGTATCAACTTAAGAGTTTGGGGTCTGATATTAAGATCCTTGATCCATTTTGAGTTAATCTTGGTATAGGGTGATATACATGGATCTAGTTTCAGTTTTTTGCAGACTGCTAACCAGTTTTCCCAGCAGTTTTTGTTGAAGAGGCTGCTATTTCTCCATCGTATATTTTTAGCTCCTTTGTCAAAGACAAGTTGGTTATAGTTGTGTGGCTTCATATCTGGGTCCTCTATTCTGTTCCACTGGTCTTCATGTCTGTTTTTGTGCCAGTACCATGCTGTTTTTATTGTTATTGCTTTGTAATATAGTTTGAAGTCAGGTATTGTGATACCTCCTGCATTGTTCTTTTGACTGAGTATTGCCTTGGCTATTCGTGGCCTCTTGTGTTTCCATATAAATTTCACAGTAGATTTTTCAATCTCTTTAATGAATGCCATTGGAATTTTGATGGGAATTGCATTAAACATGTAGATTACTTTTGGGAGTATCGACATTTTTACTATGTTGATTCTACCAATCCATGAGCATGGGAGATCTCTCCACTTTCTATAGTCTTCCTCAATCTCTTTCTTCAGAAGTGTATAGTTTTCCTTGTAGAGGTCTTTCGCATCTTTTGTTAGGTTTACACCTAAGTATTTGATTTTGTTTGAGGCTATTGTAAATGGAATTGTTTTCATACATTCTTTTTCCGTTTGCTCATTGTTAGTGTATAGAAATGCTAATGATTTTTCTATGTGTGGAGACTCTTGATTGCTGCTTCAATTTCATTTTGTGTTATAGGTCTATTCAGGTGATTAATTTCCTCTTGGTTCAGTTTTGGATGATCATATGTATCTAGAAATCTGTCCATTTCTTTTAGATTTTCAAATTTATTTGAATATAGGTTCTCAAAGTAGTCTCTGATGATTTCCTGGACTTCCATGGTGTTTATTGTTATCTCCCCTTTTGCATTCCTAATTCTACTAATTTGGGTTTTTTCTCTCCTCATTTTAGTCAGGTTTTCCAGGGGTCTATCGATCTTGTTTATTTTTTCAAAGAACCAACTTTTTGTTTCATTAATTCTTTGTATGGTTTTTTTGGTTTCTATTTCATTGATTTCAGCTCTTATTTTTATTATTTCTCTCCTGTTTGTTTTGGGATTTGCTTGTTCTTGTTTTTCTAGGAGTTTGAGATGTATCATTAGGTCATTGATTTGGGATCTTTCAATCTTTTTAATATATGCACTCATGGCTATAAACTTTCCTCTCAAGACTGCGTTAGCTGTGTCCCATAGGTTCCGGTAGGTTGTGTTTTCATTTTCATTGACTTCCAAGAAATTTTTAATTTCCTCTTTTATTGCATCGATGATCCATTCTTCATTAAGTAATGAGTTATTTAGTTTCCAGCTGTTTGCATGTTTTTTGTCTTTACTTTTGTTGTTGAGTTCTACTTTTACTGCATTGTGGTCAGATAGTATGCATGGTATTATTTCTATTTTCTTATATTTGCTGAGGCTTGCTTTGTGCCCTAGGATATGATCTATTTTGGAGAAGGTACCATGGGCTGCTGAGAAGAATGTATATTGTGTAGAGGTTGGATGAAATGTTCTGTAGACATCTACTAGGTCCATTTGATCTATTGCATATTTTAGATCTTGGATTTCTTTATTGAGTTTTTGTTTGGATGACCTATCTATTGATGATAATGGAGTGTTAAACTCTCCCACAACCACTGTGTTGGCGTTTATATATGCTTTTAGGTCTTTCAGGGTATGTTTGATGAAATTGGGTGCGTTGACATTGGGTGCATACAGATTGATGATTATTATTTCCTTTTGGTCTATTTCCCCTTTTATTAGTATGGAATGTCCTTCTTTATCTCATTTGATCAATGTAGGTTTGAAGTCTACTTTGTCAGAGATAAGTATTGCTACTCCTGCTTGTTTTCGGGGGCCATTGGCTTGGTAAATCTTCTTCCAGCCTTTCATCCTTAGCCTATGCTTATTTCTGTCGGTGAGATGAGTCTCCTGTAAGCAACAAATTGTTGGATCTTCTTTTTTAATCCATTTTGTCAAACGGTGTCTTTTGATGGGTGAATTAAGTCCATTAACATTAAACGTTAGTACTGATAGGTATGTGGTGATCCCTGCCATTTAGTTATCTTAGCTGTTTGAAGGTTTGATTGTGTGTGCCTAACTTGATGTTACTCTCTACTGTCTGATATTCTGTGAATATCTTGCCTGCTACAAAAGTGTACAACAGGGCAAGAGCAATGATTGTATTTTGGGGGAGGGATGTATCTTATTCTTGTATTACATGGCACCAGATTAAACAGACTCTTGAAAGGAATCATTCCAAGAAAGGAATGATTCAAAAGAAATTCTCAAATGATTGACAGTAACATCATTCTCTTCATTCCTTGAACTCTTGCTTTGGGGAAAAAGGTAATCTTGGGTTTTTACCATAAAACTTTGTAAAAATGCATGTAGAAGCATGTATATAGTAAAAGATTTACACAAGTTATACCACACAATCATAAAGTGAGGAAAAGTCATAAAGGGGAAAGACTAAGGAAATTCTTGAAAGCCACCTGGACTGATCCTTTACCACCTTAGAGGTGAATAAAAGACAAATAACAAAACACTATTGCTATTTGTTACAGTTCTTGGTGCTACAATAAAATACCATATACTGGGTGCCACTCTGCTTACAAACAATAAAATTCATTCATCACAGTTCTGGAATATGGAAGCCTAAGATCAAGACACCAGCAGATTTAGTATCTATTAGGAAATGGGCCATCATATCCCTATCATAGCCATATTCCCAATGCAACCTCACATGGTGGGAGGGGTGAGGGGACTTTCAAAAGCCTCTTCTAAGAATATTAGTCTCATTGATGAGGGCTTTTTTCCTGTGACTTAATCACCTCCCAAAGTCACCACCTTTTAATACTAATACTTCTAATAAATAGGGACATGTACATGTCTGCCCTGGAGTAAATGTAGGTCCATATTCATACATACATTGATACAACACATTTTCATACTTATATGCATATGACTATGTTGTAGACTCTACTATCCTTGCTTTATAGATGAGGAAACTGAAGTATGAAAACATTAAATGACCTGCTCAAGACTACACATCAAAAAATTGACAAGGTCATAATGAAAGTTACATAAAATATTTGTAAGAATGTTTAAATGAGGGAGAGGTTCAGGAAAGGGGAACAAGAAAAAGGAATACACAGGGTGAATATGCATGCATGGAAATTTTATAATGAGCCCTCTCACTGTTTATAATTAATGTACACCAATTAAAATGCAAAAGTTTTTAACAAAAAGAATTGGCAAAGCCAACATAGTAGCTCTCATCTTTCTAATTTCAACTTTCCTAACACAATAAACTTGATATCATATAGCAGCAACAAAACCTCATTTGTTGAGATTTGAAGTTAGAGACATTTTGTTTGTTAGGCCTGATGGCTCATGCATGTAATTCTAGCTACATGGGAGGTAGAGATTGGGAGAACTGTGACTCAAGGATAGCATGGGCAAAAAGTTAGTGAGGCCCTAATCAACCAATAAGCAAACATGGTGACACATGCCTGTGATCCAGCTACTCAGAAGGCGTAAACAGGAGAATCATGGCCTAGGCTGGCCCTGGAGAAAAACGTAAGAACTACAGCATAAAAGACTGGTGGCATGCCTCAAGTGCAAGCCCAGGTGGAAGGAAGGAAGAATGGAAGGGAGGGAAGGAGGGAGGGAGGGAGAGAGGGAAAGAGGGAGAGAGGGAGGGATGGAGGAAGGAACACACTAACGAAGGAACAAAGGAAGGAAGATTTGGTTTATGTTGGTTTATGGATCTCTCTCTCACTCTCTCTCTTTCTCTTTCTTATCTATAGCCCTTGAACCTTTGTTTCTTATCTCCTTACATCTGAACTTTATTTTCTGGCATCCTAAATTCAGACATGTGAAGATGAATAGCTAGATACAACACATGAGATAAACACGAAGTTACGGGATTTGTCTTCTTCTCCAAGGAACCCTTACTATGCTCCTGATTTCTGGCCTCAGGCACCAGTCTCACTCAGTTAGCAGAGCGTTCCTAATGAGCAGTTGTTCCTGACATTCTTAATTCTGGCATGAAATGCATTTCCTCATGGAAATAAAATTGAACAATGTCCAGGTCTGGTTGACATACTGCAAAGCATATAGTTTAGTAGAATGATAACAAATATGAGATTCAGACATAAGAGATGACAGTTAAAATACTGGCTTTGCCATTTTCTTGATAAATAGTATTGAGCATTGCATTTTAACCTTTCAAAGCTTCAGTCTCCACATCTAAAACAAGACCGGCAAAATGTATATAATGGGATTGTTGAGAATTCATGTAAGTCATGTAAATCCTAGTACACAAAATAGGCTCAGCAAATGACAGGTATTGTTAAATTATCTTCAGAAGTATGCTGTATTTTGATTAATCTGATGTTTGTATAGATTTGACAAGTTTTTGTGTGTGTTGGGTATTCCCTAGTTACTTATAGCACTGCTTTGTAAATCTGAAAACTTTGCTGAGAACTATCTCTGCAAAGACTTTTAAATAACTTAAAATGTTATTTGGAGAGTGTTTTCGTCTAAATGTATCCTCCCAAAATCATCCATTGAAATCTGAATCCCCAATTATTATGGTATAAGGAGGTGAGACTGATGGAAGGTGATTGAGATCAGATGAGATCTCAGAGGTGAACTCTTATAAATGGGATTAGTGTCCTCACAGGAGTCAGTCACAGAGAGCTTGCTTCCTTCCTTTTCTGTTCTTTGCCATGAGAAGATGCAATGAGAAGTCAGTCAATTACAAACCAAAAGAACACTCTCATGGACACCTGTTTGCTGTACCTTGGCTCAGACTTCCAGCCTCTAGCACAGTAAGAAGTAAGTTTTGGTGGTGTTGTAACAGCCTGAACTAAGACAAACTTTAAGTATTTTCCAGACATTCAAGAATATGACCACAAATTTTTGTCTCCAAGCCTTATGTTTTGTTCTAGTGGCCCAAAGAATACCTGTGGTGAGTGCTTCAGTAGATGTAGGATAAATAGTCAATGGAATGAGTGGTACAATTGCCTCAGCCCCTCCACCCTACGACCCTAGTCATTTGGCTTTATCTCCATCACTTCATATTCACTCCCACATGAGGCTTCAATGCTGGCTCCCCTGACTTCAACATTCTTCCTCTAAATGTCCCTGTCACCAACACCTCTTGGTCTTTCAAATATTTGATCACCTTAGGCCTATCCTATTAGAGATCCTATTAAATACCCTATTGAAAGTTTTTAAGCCACCCCACCCATTCCTCATACCCTATAACTCACCATTCCTCCTTTCTGAACTTTCCTGTATGTTTACTGTCTTCTCACATACTACACAATTTACTTATTATTTCATTATTTTCTGAATCCTCTCCAAATGTATATGGACTCTACAAGGGGTTTTGCTCACTGATATGTCTGTTCCATGCCCTGGAACAAGTAGATTTTCATTATTTATTCAATAAATGAACAAATAAAATATCTCACATAGATGTATCTAAAACGAAATGCAAGGAAATCATTATGACCAAAATTTTTTTTAAATACTGCAAAGGGCCTTCCCAATAATTCTGACATTTGGACCTGTGTGCAATTCTTTCTACTGACCTTTAATAAGAGTGAGAAACTCATCATGCTTGACTCGGTTCCTCTGGATGTCAATCTTTAGGGTTAGCAACAAAGTGAACAGGAATTTGTGTTCCTCGTACAACCCTCGGACAGCACACTTATAAACCTCATAGGTCATGTGCTCGATGATATTAGCAATCCTCTTGCTAGGAATTGGGCTCTTGGCGGACCTGAGGAAGAGAGCATTTAAATCAGGCTTTTCAATTGTCCATAATAACAGAGTCTTTAATGTAGAATAAGGAACTTTGGAGGTCCAATTTTTATTTTTACAGATCAAGAGTAAGTTTCTTAAATCTAACATAGCAGTCATTCTCTCAATGTGAAACAACGTAACAGATCCTCAATGTTGTCTAAATCAATTTTACCCACAGGACATTATCACTTACAGCCATGTCTTAGGAATGTTCTTGTTTAGCAGAAACACATGGAACCAAAGGAATCAAATCAGTGTTTGAATAGTTGGTATGAAATTCTCTGGGCATTAAATGGAAAACAAGCATGACTTCTCAACACACTAGTAATTACACTAATCTTAGATTTTGAAAAGAAAAAAGACTTTAACAAAGAAAAAGGAAGTTATAAAGGTACTGTCATCATTCTAGTCCACAGATAAAGAATTCAGCTATGCTTCCTGAGAACAGACGTACCTGGCTAAAGAAAGGTCAAACAGGCCCAGAAACTGACGGAGCGAAGTCTGATACATCTCATTAACCAAGCGCATCTCCGTGATGAGGAAGTAAAGGGTGCTGCCCCGTGTAGCAACTGAAAGACAGAGAACAAGGATGCATGTACCTGCGAGAGTGGAAATGAGTGAGCCGTGCAAGCACATCGGCCTGAACTCCAAATGAAAACAACTCCTTTCTCTCTTATCAGTGGCTGCCTACGCGCAATGGGACATCTAGAGCATCTCATTTGTTAATCACTGAATTCTATGTGCAAGCTTTGCATAAGTGCTCTGCTATATGTATTCAGCAAACACTACTTCCCATTTTAGAAGCTCCAGCCCCCTTATAAATATATTTTATGGTGTTTTGCCACAAGTAGAAAAGACAACCAAGGGAATTTCACAGATTTTGTACTTAATCCCCAGCAAGTGACATAACCTTTTCTGAAACTCATGAAGGAGACATGCCTAACTTTGACCCCAAGTGTGCAAAACAAGCCATCACAAAGATGATGCTCTTGACTCTGGACCAGTAGATGATACTGTGTCAACTCTATTTCCCTCAAGAAAAGATAAATTACTAAAGGATAGTAATTGAATACATACAGTGGATTGCTTAAGCAATCAATGAACATCTATTTGCAAATTGGTGGCTGAGGTTAAACACCAAAGAACCAGCTTCCTAACACAGACCATAAACAAAATACTGGCATATTATTACAAATGATAAACAATGAGGGAACAGTCTACAGTATCACAAAATGCCTCAGATTTCACTCATTTGTAGCCAGACATTTTAAAAAATTTCCCTCTTTACTTTCTAACTTAAGAGTAAGTTCACTAAAACCTTGAAATATTTCCCAACTAACATGAACTACAAACATCTAGAAAGTTTGTGCCATTATATAATTTCGACATCTCAAATCTACCAAAGTTCCCTAAAGAAATGTCACAGAACATAATTGGCCACCCCACTTTGCATAGCCATTTGCATAACTCCCTTACTTCATTCTCTTTCTTGCTCCATTTTCCTGTGACATTTGTCTTTCATTACCAGACTCACCAGGTCTGTATTCCTCCCGAGCCGAATTAATTTGAATTTCTGTCTCAGCAGAAATTTCCAACTTCTGTGTCACCTCTTCTGCTGTCTTTTTGGTGTTGCTCAGCACAGCAATGAGACTCTCATCTTCCACCAGGGACCCCTGAGTACTCGTTAGGCGCAACAGCAAACTATCTTCCAGTTCCTTCATCCTTCTTTTGTTTGCAGTTACATCTTCCATAAGATGAATTCTCTCTCTCTCCAATTCCTGTTAAATTACATAAATATATTTCTTTCTACATGAACAAGTATTTGGGGACATTCTCTAAAGAGTGCACTTAGCTGGCTGACCTCAAGCATGTGTACTGTACTGTAGCTATCATACTTGACTGCAAGACACATGGACATCCAGAAAGGAGAATTTGCTAAAAATGGTACCATTATCCCCATTATAACTTATTTTCTAAGTCAAATAATCTTTAGTTATTTTGTGATTATATTCAACATACAAATATGTTATTTTACAGATACATACATAGATAAAGCTATAGAAATATCTATACATACAGATACAGATATACAGTCCAAAAGATTGAACTCAGGGCCTCACACTTGGTAGGCAAGTGCTTTACCACTTTGCTTTTAGTTTGTTTTTCAGAGGGGCTTGCTGATAACTGCCTGCACTGGCCTCAGTCCGAAATCCTCCTACCTCTGACTCTCAAGTAGCTGGGACCAGAAGTGAGCAACACTGTACTTGGCTTGTTTTAGAGATAGAGTCTCACTAACTTTTGCCAGGGCTGGCTTCCTTTGAACCCAGATTCTTCCGTCTCTTCCTACTGAATAACTGGGATTATAGGTATGTGCCACCTTGTCTAGACCTTAAAGGTAAAATATATTTGAAAACAAATTCACAGATCTTACATTAAATTTATTTACTTCTGTTTACTTTATTCTTTAAAAGAGTTTTTCCATTATTTGAATGTGATCACTTCAAATTTGCTGGTTGAAATAGCATCCAATTCTTCATACTTAGGTAAGGAGCCTACAGGTTACTATAAATACATTTAAACTGAAAAATCTTAAAAGGCAGGCATGATGATGCTTGCAATTCCAGCACTCAAGGTGGAGGCAGTAGGATCAAGAGTTCAAGGCTAATCTAGGCTACATAGCAAGACCATGTCTCAAAAATAATTTTTTTAATCTTCCTGAAAAAGTACTATCCTCTCCAAAAAAGTGAAGGTTTGTATCTCTCCAAAAGACTTTGCAGTTAACAACGAGAGTAAGGCATTGAGAAAGTACTCACTTCGTTGATTTTTTTTTCTTTCTTTCTCTTGGCAGCATGGAGAGGGAGAAAGGAAGAAATTCAAGTGACACTGAGAAAGACAAAGGAAGTATGAAGCCTGATGCTGGGGAACAAGTTAAATTATACATGGAAGTGAAATAGTTATGTTTATGAGAGACTATATAACTGAAAACTATGGTTACATGCAGGTGACTTGGACAGCAAAATCACGAGAAAGTACTTCTGGCAGTTCTGAGTGTGACTCAGTAGATCTACCTGGGCATATGGTGTCAAAGTTCAAATTCCTTCAGCAGCATCAGATATTCAGAAAATACCTCAGTAGCTTTTCAGATTTTACTGCCGATTGAGAGAACCAGAAACCTATGCAGTGATGGATCATATGAAATCAATAACATAATAGAACTACTCATTAATTGCATGATTAATTATGTGATTTATTTCTATTATGATCCAGTATTCACACAAACATTCAAGGGAAAGGAGCAGCCAGACCTAGCCAAAGCCTTCCAACTACCGATCATTTTAATCAGAATAAAAGATCCTTATCGAGGTCTTTGAGGTTAGCTCTATCAAGCTGTCCTCTTTCCTATTATTACAGGGACCTCATTTCCTACTATTTCTCCCTCCTTTTTGCCAAAATCAGTATTCCATAACTCTGTGAGTTTCAAACCTGAATGCAAAAGGATCACCTGGAAGGTATGTTTAGTAGCTTTGGGACAGGGTCCAAGCATTTGCACTTCTAATATATTTCAGAAGATGAGATGCTTCTAGTCTGGATGCCACACTTAGAGACCCACTGCCCTAAACACAAAGCACTTTCCTGTCTCAGGTCTTCTGCACTGGTTGGTCATTTGTCATGGCTGCTCTTCTCCCACATAATTCATTTTCTTCAATTCTTCCTTAAATGCACCTTCTCATCCAGGCCCACACTGACTATCCTAAAATTGCAGTCTGCCACTTGATTCCCCAGTTCTTATGATGTTATGCTTCATGTTTTGATAGTATTTAATATCTTCCACAAAACATAAATACTTATTCATGTTATGTTCTAGGGGTAGGTTATTTTTTTTGCAGGGGGGAGGAAGTGGTGTCCATTCTGTTTATTCTTATGTCCTCCAAATTTTATCAGGCACTCAATACTGTGCAATGAATGAATTATTAAATGATATATCTTTTCAAGTTGATAAACTGAAACACATAGTGAACTGGAAAATTTAGTCTTTATTCCAGAAATACAGACATAAAAGTTCTCCCCTGTGAACCATGCAAATAAAGTTCGTAGGAACAAAATTGCATAAGAGCAGAGATCATGAACCACAGGTCTCTGTTTTATGTCCTGGCCAGTTAATTCCCATTGATTGAATAGTTATGGTAGGTAAGACCCTATAAACTCTTCATGATGGAAGCCCCATAAGTTGAGTCCAAGGACATTCTAGAAAAGAAAGAATTTCATCTTAAACAAAAGTTCAGAGCTTGTATCAATTCTTAATTTGCTGAGCTGTAGCAACTCAAGAGAAGCTTACTCCATTGCTTCCATCTGTTTAATGTTTGAAAGCTCCCTTAGTGGTTACTTTAATTCATTTATTCACTAACTGAAGAATTTCAAAATTCAGGAAATGTAGAAATTAGTACAAACAAGTGACATTTAAGGGTTGCTACAAAATTCTTTTTCATAAGCAGTTACAATAAAAGCCTTCACTATATGGTAACACTGGGAAATAAGGTGATAATAAATGGGAAAATTTTTAAATTTCTAAAGGTTTCTGAAGGTGAGCATTATAATGGTCTTCACCTCTGAAGACAGGGAAGGGAAGGAATGTAAAGCAGCAGAGAGACAGTTTTGACATCAGGGAGAAATATGTTGAATTGAGACCTGCGTGTTGTGTAACTCGACAATCTCAGTACTTTAATCTGAACAATGGACATAAAAATGGCTAAAAGAGTGGTTGTGAGACTATCCCCTCAACGCAGCTGAGAGTGACTAGATTAAGATGGTTGCTCAAAATATGTCTCTTCTTTTCCATCCCGTCCCTTGATTCACTTCTAGCAGAATTTCCAGAAGCACAGAATGCTTATTTGGAAAATCAGATGCTTGAAAAAGTCAAGTTATAAGTTGGCACAAGGAAAGTTCCACTCCTGGGTATTCATCCAAAGGAAAGGAAATGAATATGCTGAACAGATATCAGCTCCCATGTTTACTGACCTAGCATTTGCAATAGTCACAATACATAATCATCCTAGCTGTCCATCAATGATGATTTGATAAGGAACATGTGAAATATAAACCCAATGGGGTATTATTCAGTCACAAAAATGAAGAAAATCCTGTCATTTGCAGCAGCATGGACAAACCTAAAAGACCCAGGAAATATAAGTTCTCACTTACATAAGGAAGCTTTTTTAAAAAGTCAGTCCCATAAGAGAGAGAAAAATAGTGATTATCAAGTCCAAAAATGGTGGGAGAGAGGGAAGAGAGGGAGAAAGGATGGCTAATTATTCAGGAGAGTAGTTGTGTGGGAAGAATATCTTCTAACATTCCATAGAAGCAGAGGCTAACTACAGTTGACAAGAATTAATTGCTTATTTCAAAATAGTTAGCAGGGAGAATTTTGAATATTCCTAACAACAGATAAATGTTTGAGGTAATGAGTATATTGATTACCCTGATCTGATCATTGTGTGTATTGAAATATCACACAAATCCAAATTGTATGTGTCAATTTAAAGTAACTATTACATATAATTAAAGATGACATAAAACCAATAATTCTTTAGATTTCCACAAACTATCATAAAAGTATATAATAAGGTGGATTAGAAAGGGGCGCTTTCTCATCCTGACTTTAAAACCCTGGAGAACATGTCAATGGAGGACAAAAGCATGGGAATCTATTGAAAATCAGTACCAAGTACTTTCATGTCTTCCTGCACAATAACCTTCACCTCTGTCCACTGCCTCCAATTATATAACCACTGCCATATTTAGGCTTCAATTCCTAATTTGACTGGTCTTCCTGCTGACCCTCTTCCCTACTGCCATCTCCTTTGCTGCTTATAGTCACTCATGGGCTCTTCTTTACTTAGTTTAAGAGGCCCAAAATTCCCATATGGTTTATACACAGTTACAATCTACATTTCCAACTTCATCTCTACTTGAGAACCATCAGGTTCAGCTAGCACTGTGCCTGTATGTTGCTTTTGAAAACATTCTTAATAAAATAGTAACATATGCAGCAAAGAGAAAATTACTCAATTCTTCATTTAAATAAGAGTAAATGAACATTACTGAAATGGTTGTGGTCAACTTAATAACATTGTTAACAACACTAAACAAATTTGTCAATTAAAATAACTTCCTATATTCCCCCAAAATTAAAAATAACACTAAGAAGTCCATCTCCCCAAAATTTGAAAATGATAAAAATAAACAACTCCAAAATTTAGAAATCAGTCAAAAGAAGTAAATGGCAGTGGTTTAGGATGCTTGTAATTTCTCTTCTGTACCTTATGTAGGTAATTAAAATAGAAAGACTGAATAAAAACTCAGAAAGAGAATTATTTTTTCTCCATACCAGTGAGCATGTGATAACAATGTCTTCTAGCATTTATGTCCAGATGGGTTTCCCTGAGTTCAAGTCCTTCTACCTCAAAATTGCCTACCTTTTTGCTCCTCCAGAATTCTGAACAATGATGATCCCTGAGATTTATATTCTTAGACTGGTAGAAATGTCAAAATCTACTCACAGATATAGTGAGTAAATAGTCACATATGCCTCTATGTAAACTTGAACAGTAAAGCTATTACAGAAAACATGGAAGTTTCTCTAACAACTAAAAAAAGAATTTTTGTTCCACTACTAGGTGTACATTCATGTTAAAGAAACAAGGGCACTCCCATGTGTATTGCAGCTCTATTCACAATAGAGGATAGGATCAAACTAAATGTTTATCAGCTGATGATAGGTGCACCTGTATGTACGCACAAATGAACTACTATTCAGTCACAAAAAAGATGGGATTCTGTCATTTGCAACAACATAGATGGACCTGGAGGCCATTATATAAAGCAAAATAAGTCAGATACAGAAGGGTGAACACTGCACAATCTTACTCATATGCAAAATCTACAATGATTTTACCTCATAGATGTGGAGAGTAGAATTGTGGTTACCATAAAATGAGGAAAAGAGGTAGCGGTTGGTCAACATATATAAATTTATAAGTAGATAGGAGGAATAAGTTTTAGTATTCTATTGCACAGGGGGCATGACTATAATTAACAATAATGTGTATTTCTAAATATCAAGAAGGGATTTTTTTTAAAAATTCACTACAAAGAAGTGATAAAGTAACCAGGTACTGGTGACTCACGCCTATAATCCTAGCTACTCGGTAGGCAAAGTTCAGGAGATTCGTGGTTCAAGGCTGGCCCGAGCAAGCAGTTCTTGAGAACCTATCTTAAACACAAAAAAGGACTGGTGGAGTGGCTCAAGTAGAAGAGTGCATGCCTAGCAAGTATAAGGCTCTACCACCAAAAAAATAGAATAATAGATTATGCTAATGATTATGACAGTTTTCCCAATTTGATCATTATGAAATGCATACTTGTATGGAAAAAAACACTTTGTATTCTATCCATAAACATGCACAATTGTCATGGATCAATTTAAAATAAGCTACTGCCTTGAAGCAGACAGAAAAGTATGAAATCAGTTATTTAAAATCTACTTCCTAGGCAGGTTATTGTGGCACACAATTGTAAGCCCAGCTCCTCAGGAGGCAGAGGCAACAGAATCATGAGTTCAAGATGAATCTAGTTGAGGCAAAGTTAGTGAGACCCTATTTCCAAAACAAAGAAAAATGGAAGGAGAGTGGGGAAGGAGGGAGAAAGGAAGGGAGGGAGGAAGGAAGGAAGGAAGGGAGGAAAGAAGGGAGGAAGGAAGGCTAAGGACATGAGTCATGTGGTAGACCTAGCAAGTCTGAGGTCCTTGGTTCTACACCTCCATTACTGCAAAAATAGGAAAAAAGAAAGGAAAGGCAAGACGGAGGGAGGGAGAGGGAGAGAGAAGGAGGGAGGGAGAAAATCCTATTTCCTTACATTTGTATGCTCTGAGGTTTCCACTGATTTTACAAGCAAATTTAAAGGTCTAGCAGGTGCACAACCGGCATTCTTGAGGCCAGATCATGTGTGATAATGAGGTCCCTTACTCCCCCGGTATTCCCAGGACATTGGAAAGGAAACTTAGGAAAGCAAAGAAGATTCCCCTGTCCTTTTCACCTACCTTCCTTTCACAGGAGGACTCAACAGACCAGTAAAGGCAGGAGTCTGCCTGAGTGTGGAGTGTCACCTTTGTTTCAGCCCACATTTCTCTGGTGCTATACAGTTTCAACTTCTATCTGTGGGGTCTTCCTAGCTTCCAGTAGCAACCTCCCCCTACTTGATTCAGCAAAATTTTATCTTTCTATTTTATATTTAAGGTCACCCAAGGAGTTATTACAGCCAGAGATGCTGCATTGCCACAGGACTCAAAGGAGCATTTTGGACCTTAAAAAATTACATTTCTTTGTCCTTACAACACAGAAGTAAGGCCATTTTTAATGATGTGATTAGATAATAGGAAATGACCTGAAAGTATCAGAGATCATCTCAAACCCACGTACAGGGCCAAGACTGATCCTCTGTTATTATAAAAGAATACGTTATGCTATTACTCTGACCATATTTTTGCAATAATTATTTGCTGTCAATGTGGAACAGATTCTGAAAATGCAACAGTAGTAAAGAAGTAATTTTCTCAAGACACTCAATTTTCCCAAGAAGAAAAAAGGATCCTGGCCCTGGATCCATATTGGCTTTGTAAGACCCGTTGAAGTCTTTTCAAATCAGTTTAAAGTGCTTCCTGCCTCCTCTTAAGCCTCTGCTGCCACAAGAAAAGCTCAGTGCTGGAGTTGCTGTTATCATTGTTATTTCGTTTTGTTTTATTTATTACAATAAACATCTAGAATGCCAAATTATTTTTTCTAAGGAAATTGTAATCATTTCAACCACATATAGTAAAACCAAGAACAGCATATCATGAAAACTGGCACCAGGACCCAAGGCTAGTGTGAAAGCAGAGCCTAGGACATTTGATAGATGCTGGCTTAAAGATCCTTAGGAATCCCACTTGCTCAACAGCACACACGGCTCTTTAACAATCCCAGTCCTCCCTGAAGTAATTATATGGCAATGCTAAATCTCTCAACTACCTTTGTTGAAATTTAACTCAGGACTCAAAAGTAAACTAGTACTAGTACTGGGGCTTGAACTCAGGGCCTACACTTTGAGCCACTCCAGCTTTTTTTTTTTTTTAAATGTTAAGTATTTTCGAGATAGGATCTTGTGAAATATTTGCCTGGGCTGGCTTTGAACCGCAATCCTCCTGATCTCTGCCTCCTGAGTAGCTAGGATTACAGATGTGAGCCACCAGAGCCTGGAAACAAGTACATATTTTAAAAGCTGTTTTACTTCAACAGCTAGTCTTTGGTAGGAACTACAACATTGGTTCCTGACATGCTGAGGTCATGATTAAAGGCTCTTTAATGCAGCTACCACTTTATGACGCTATGATTCGTGGGCTGTACATTAAAAAAATAAAAACAGAAGATTCAGACAAAAGGACGGGAGAGAGGAAAAGGAAGAAAGGCAAGGAAAAAGAGATAGACACATGGTCTATCAGAAGGGCTCAGAAGAACAAGCCCAATACAATATACAGAAAAGGAAAAGACAGTGATGGGGTACAGATTCAAAGATTTTGCCAATGGTCTTACCCTAATATGTCTTCAGGTAAGAGGAGAAGGAGCCATAAAGAAAGCTAAACTCCTTACTGCTATCAAATTCAAGAGAAAGTCAATAGTGACTTTAAGAGTTCATGCAGTTCACAATGACAGCCTCATTAAAAATCTTCTACCTTTCTTTATTTAAGCCTCACATGTTCCCTGGAGGAAATGTGCTCACTCAGAAAAAGGAAGTTTATAAATTCTTGGCCATTTTCCAATGAGCATTAAGTTATCTCATAAACTAGAAGTAAAGAAGACAGACACAGTTATGTTTCCAGAGCACCAAGTCAGTAGCCTTCAGAGGGAGCATGTCCAAACGCTGAGGTCACAACTTCTACATTCTCAACATCATAACACACAGAGCTCTCTCTTAGCCATAAGAATTGATAATGTTGGTTATTGTCTGAATAAAAGGTTTTCATCTTATTTTCTAAAATTATCATAAAGAACTAAAAACCTAGATGTGTATAAGAAAACTAAAAGTCAACAAGTGAGTAAAATTCACAACAGAACACGCTTGTCAGAAAAATTAAGCAATTTATGACCAGAAAAATGATACAAAAAAATGAGACTGATATTCTCAGTTATATTGTCAGTGTGTAGAAAAGAAATCAATCATATATGTAATTTATGAGACATATATGAAACATGAATTGACAACTGGTTAATACTTCCATTTAGATAATAAAGAAGAGACTTAGCAATTTATAAGGAAAACATGAGGAATAAAAGAGGAGAAACTCAATCTCGTAATAAATTTTATCATACTATTTTCGCCAAAGAACAGTCAGCCACATTTCACCCACCTGCTTCTCTGTGAGAATGACTCTCCCTAGTAACTGGTCTTCCAGACCTTTCATGGTGACAGTGAAGTCAATAATGGAGGTCCGAGCACTTATTTCTGGGGTGTAGGCTGGATTGGGAAGTTTGGTGGTAATGTAGAGTCTGAAGCCATTCATGACATCTACTTCCTTGTCACCAACTTTCACCTTTTTTCATATGAAAGAAAGTTTAAAGTAATAATGGTGTCTTTCTTATATGGTAGCAAACACTGCTTTAACCAATTTGTGACTGGAGATAATTTGTATACTTAAAAAAGTGATTATTAGATATTTGTAGCACTTCAATCCACAACGAAGGAAGGAAGGGAATGAGGGAGGGAGAGAGGGAAGGAATAAAAAAGGGAGGGAATGAGGAAGGAAGTGAGGGAGGGAATGAAGGAAGGAGGAAGTAAAGGAGTTAAGAAGTCCAATATATACCATGTAATAAATACTGAATTTGGTATCAAAATTGTGATCATACCAGAGAAGGGAGATGGAGCCTCACCCATGATTTGTTTCAGAGGCTGAGACTAATGGTGCACATATGGACCAAAAGGGCATGAAAAAACTCATTACTCACATAATGAGATTTTGGAGGGAGATTAGAGCAGGTACCCAAGCCAAGTCCCAAAAATGGCTTGAGAGAACAGGGAGGGACAGCTGGTATAGGATTTATGGTGCTTAGGAGTGGGTTGGGATGAGGGTTCCCACACATGGGTATGGACAGCTTGTATGATTTGAATCTCCAACCAGTGACAAGGAAGGAGCACCACTTTTCTTATCAGCTTGCACAGGTGTACAGCTGAAGGAGAGAGGGCATGGAGGATCTTAAAATCTACCAAGAGTTAAAGAATAAAATGAAGTCAGCTTCATTATAAAAGTAAAATAGATATGCCTAAACGGATCACTTTTGAATACTCTAATCCCAACTCAGCAAGTGCAGGAGAGAAAAATTCCTCTCACAACTGACTCCGATTCAAGTTGCTGCCTATTGAGAAAATTCCATCACATTTATCTGGCCCCATGTAACTATCTGCATGTTGACATCAGCAGGTTTAAAATACCTTAAAGGTAGACCCAGTTTTAATGAAGTTTCTTTCCAAAACATTATCCAGAGCTGGATCCAGTTCCTCCCCAATGTCTTCAATAAGCAAGGGCCTTCCAAGAGAAAGGCTGTCTTCCAGGTGGTTTCGGAAGTACTTGTGATTTAGAGATGTGACCTAGAAACAGGATCATGAGGTTAGCCTTGACAGACAAGCTCTCTATGCAATGCACAGGAATGGCTAATATCATGAGGCCCAAAGCTTTCAGTCACAGGAAACACATACAGTCTTAGCAATCCTTGGCTTTGGAAGCCATATTGAATGAAATGTATGGAAAGCTTAAACTGTTTCCATCCTTTTCTTTTTGAGATCATCATTCCCTACTATAAGGAAGCTCTGTGTGGCACCTCTGCTTTTCCTCACCACCACCTTTCTGACAAATGATAATGGAATAATCAGGAAGTACTGTACATGTAGTGTGATAGTGATGCCCTTCTGTGCTCATCAAAGAAAACCTTAGACCCTAAAAGATAGAGTCCAAAAAATGGCCTTCATAAAATGGCCAAATGCAAATAATGAGATTTTCGGAGAAGACTTTGTAATAATATTTAAGTTTGTATCTGTTTCTATCCCATCTAGTATTATCTCCCCAATACACAGACAAAAAAAGTCTGTAAGACTTTCAATTATTTCTTAATTTTTGGATTCTTAGCCATCTGAGGAAATAAAACTTGACCAGTAACATAAATATACCCAAACACAAATCACCTGGAGTTCATTTTGGTTTTCTTTATTTTTAATCCAGATCTTGCCTTGAGTCTGTGGATCGATTAGCAAAGGATAACGAGATGCCTTTGTGACTATAATTCCATTCTGAATGGACAGGTCATCATTTGGCAGACCGTGGAGGTTCCATTCACTGATAGTGGGAGCATCAATCAACATCTCATTGAGATTTAGATCATTTCTAAATGGAATTTTCCGGGTTTTCATTTCCTTCTTCCAATCATTTAACAGCAGATCTCGAAACTCTTGATTAAATGGACCAGAATAAGATAGAAAAGCCGTAGCCAACAATACGTCCCCTAAAATAGAAAGTAAAAGTCACTGACATACTTTGTGATCATCCTTGTAATTGTTCAGTGCATTAAAATTGAAAAAAAATTTAAAAGACAATCATTCTTTTAAACTAAATTCCCCAATGCAAATTGTAGGCACATGTTGGCATGCCTTGACAAATAGCAAGAGGTTGGATCACTGTTAAACTGGACCTAAATGGACTACGATTTGGCTGCTAGTGATCAAACATTGGGTTATTTTGACTTTTAATGCAAGTGATGGATAACACCTCAGACAACAGCGCCTTTCATTCAATATGATCAATATTCCTATGCACTCATAGGAGAATTTGAAAGTGACCTGATAATAACAAGTATAAAGATCATTACCCACTTAATAAGGAGAGCATAGGTTGCAGACCATTATCCATCTCTGAAATAGCTGGATGCACACACACACAGACAGAGGAATTTGAAATAATCAAGTGTGTAATTAAGCTTGAGCTTGCTAGCTCCCTGTCACAGTCAACACATAACCCATTAATAACAGAATTTACAGACCTACGAGTTGCTTTGCTTGTGCAGCAAACTCTTTACTTTGCTCTGTCCATCGCTCTTTTTCACCAGCCAAGCCACTGATGAGTGTGGAAGCTGTCTGCATCTTATGTCTGCACCGCTCTGCATCTTCAAGCAAGGTCTTAAAAAAAAAGCCAGAACCAAAAGAAAACCTTTATTGATATAAATATGGCCTCTGGCCCAAAAAAGGTAACTTTAAAGCATATATGTTCTGCCTTTCTGGGTCACAGAGCCCCTTATTTCAGGAAGCAGAAGATTCTATCTCCTGCTGTCTGTGTCAGCCCTGTCTGATCTCATGCCCTGTCCAAGAAACTTGGGGGAACTCCTCTAAGTGGTACCTTGAGCCCAGGGGCCAGACCCTCCCCAGATGTTAACAACTGAGAGATAATAGAAATTTGCATTGTTCATGATTTTCCTTACAGAAAAATGGAAACAGAACCTAGGCTTACATAGTGCTTTTCAAAAGTGAGATATTTAATCAAGTTTGTCCTCATCTACTTTCTATGTTTGCCTCCTTTGGTCAATACAAAAATTAACAGTCCATCTGTGAAAGACATTTCTATATTTGTATCACCCATATAAATTTGTGCGTTTCCCCCAAAAGGAAAGATGTATAACTCCACATCACTTACTGGAAAAAGAATTTTTCATTTAAAAGACACTTTTAATTTATTTCCTGTCCCTAAATTCTCTATCCTGACTTCCATCCAGCCAAGTAAGAACATGCCCAGGTCCCCTCCTGGCTGTTGTTCTCTGGAAGCCCAGGTTCCTATGGGGTATCTCAATATTAGAAAGGGAGAGGTATAAATGTCTGAGAGCACAAAAGCACAAGCAGATTGCTCCCCAGAGCCCTCTTAAGGATGGGGGTGCAGAATTCCCTGGTTTCCAGCCCCTTCCACAGTGAGGTGACTTGCTCTCCAGAAAGCTAGGAGAAACTGGTCCCTAAGCAAAGGCACTGTGTCCTGTGTAGAGAGTAACCGGAACACCTTCTCCTCTAAGGACCACTCAGGCCTGGACCACAACAAACTGGAGACTCTCATGGAATCCTAAGGAGGGGAAGATAACAAAAACAGCTGAAGGGCATATTGGTGGTAGCTGATGCATGGCCAGATATTTTTCATTAAGAAATTTGACATTTGTTGAAACAAGTTTTGAAGTTACATTTTTTCCTTTTTAAATTTATTTTCGGTTTTGGGGGAGTACATTGTGACATTTACAAACCTGCTTAGTTAGATTCACCACCTCTGTCTTTCTCCTTTATCCCCCTTTCATACAACAGTTTCAACTAGCTCATAGTTCCATTTTCATACTTGAATATATAGTACTTTCACCAGATTCAACCTCTTTTACCCTTCCCCTTACATCCTCTCCCCTTCCACTGGTACCAATCCATGGACAGGACTTGTTTTACCTTCATGTCCTTTACTTAAAAAAAAAGACACTTTTATTTGTTTATGATGGTATACAGGGAGTTTCACTGTGACATTTCCATATATAGAGATATATACATATATAGGTATATATATGTGTGTATTATACCCTGAATTGGTTCATCCCTTCCATTATTCTCCTTTCTACTTAGTTCCCTTCTATAGCCATATTTTTTCAGTAGCAGTTTTTGTGTGTGCCTATGACTTAACTAACAAATTGCAGATGCTCAATAAAGAAATGTTTATTGAATGAATTAAGGCAAAAAAGCTAAACTTTAGATAAAATAACATGAGAAGGTATAATATTGTGACTTTGTTCAATAGTGCTTCCTAATACAAGTGAGATATAAACTACTAGAAATGACTACTCCTTCCTCATAGTTTTTAAAGTAGACACTTTCAAATTGTAATGTTAATTTTCTCTTTAAATGAGTGAATTCTGTGGGGCATGATTCCATGTAGATGTTACATAATTATTCCTTTAAAACTTCTGAAAAGCCCTATTTTGTTTTCAGGAGACATCTTTAAGAGAAAATATCATACGTTCTACAGGCAGTGAAACTGAGATGTTCAGGCAGGAGTATCAGTCTGGCCAAATGAAGGCTGGAAGGGACAAAAGCAACTTCCACAATAAGAACTTCCACAGTTCTTATTTACTAAATACAGAATTTATCACAGATGAATAGAGATATTGTGGAGTCAGCAGTTTACATGATCTGTGGGGAACCATTTTAAGAAAAAAATCACTAGAGACTTTCTACAACTATAACATAAAAAAGTGAGTATGTATTCTGAGCAGAAGAAAAACATGAAAAAGTTCTGGTGACTTGGAAATTTGTGTTTCTTTCCCCAGTGATCTCGTCAGGAATTTTTTTCTGAATGTTAACATACAACAGTTGTTGATCTTGACCTGGCTTCCTCTTCCATAGAACGTCTATAACTCCCAGTAACCCAAGCTCTTACTGGTACATAGGCAAGTACGTGACACTGAGGTTTACGCGACATTAACTCTGTATTAAATCTGCCTTGGTTACAAGAAGGAAGAATGTCCCAACAGAACTGGAATTCGTATAAATAAAATAAGGAGCGAGTAGATATGAGATGTGTGAATCTAGACTCTACAAGCTGCTACAGCTCCAAAATGCACCAGTTGAGAAGGCTGTGCACAGCCGCTGTCGTTGGCACATAGCCATGTAGTTAGTTACATTCTTCCAGCAGAGAGGACTGAAGCAAACATCAGAAGACCAAGATCCAGTCCAGACTATGTCACTGGCCAGACTTTTAACCAGCAAACTTTCTCTGATCCTGTCTGGACCTCAGCTACTTTCTTTACAGTAAGAGTAAAGTACCTGCCCTGCATATCTTGCAAGATTGTTTCAAAGATTAAACGAGATAAAGTGCAAAGACATGATTTGAAGCACATAAATAAATTCTATCCAAGTGACTGATAGTCTCACATCAGCATGTACAAGGGAATTCAGTGCCACTTTAGTGGCCCACCTGACATATACCCAAAGCCCCTGGTGTCTTATAGAAACAAACTCCAAGGTTCACAGAAATATGTGCAATGTATGTGTTTTGTATAAACTCGGTGAATCCCTGCTACGAACCAAGCCCTTGAAAAGAGTAAAGAGACCAGGAATAAAGGCTTACGGTAAATGTAAAAGTGCGTGATGATCTGTCCCATATCAAAGGATGGTTACCTGCTTTTCAGTCATGGCCTGTTCATACTCTGCCTGCACCACATCGAGCTCTGCTTGCTTGTCGTCCAGCTCAGCCTGGGCCTTCTGCAGGTCCTGCATGGCCAGGACGTAGCGATTCTCCTGCACCACCAAGTTGGCCTGCATGGGACACAGAGAGAAGGAAAGGCAGGAAACCTCCAAACACCTTGAATTGCAGAATCTGGGAACTCAGCAGGTCACATGCTCACACCTTTCCTTTGCTCCATTCCTAGAATCTTCAAATTGCACTGTTAAGACAAAATCTTCATGGAATTTGGCATAAATGTTTATTAGCAGAAAATTATACTTAAACAGAGGATGGCAAAATTTTTCCACAACTTGCCAGATAGTATATATTTCAGGCTTTGGAAACCAAAAGGTAAAACCAAATCTATTAGGTACTTATTTTAAAACCATTTTAAAGATGTAAAAGCTATTCCTATTTCATGAGCCATACAAATATATGTCCACAGTTTGCTTATCCCTTATAATGTTAAATGTGCATAGCAAATTACAGAACATCTCAATGTTAAGAGTTATATCAAGAGAAAACACTGAATACAGATCGTCCCTGACTTACAATGATTTGACTTATAATTTTTCGACTTGATGACGGTGAAAGACAATATGCTTTCATCCAATAAAAACCATACTTGAATTTTGAATTCTGATCTCTTCTCAGGCTGCAGATAAGCCACACAGTAGTCTCCCACAATTCTGGGCAGCAGCAGTGAACCACATGATCACAGGGGTAAACACCCGGTACCTTAGAGTGTGCTGTGATGTCAAGCTATGATGTTTGGTAGGTATGGAGTAAATTAAACACATTTCAACCTATACTATGCATTTAATACACCAATAAACACACCATTTGTTAAAAATCATAAGGCAACTGACTGAAGACATAGCTCACTTGGTAGAGTACTTGCCTAGCATGTGCAAGGTCCTGGGTTTGATCTCCAGCACCACAAGAAAAAAAAATCCTAAAAACATTGTAAATGGAGAACTGCCTGTATTTAAAACCATCTTCCTAGCAAGGGTCATTGGTATTTTAGTAATGAAGAACAGAGCACCATTATTCACTGAGTGCAAACATACAGCTTTTACGTGCAGTGGTGATAGTATTACTTTCTGCTTCTAGGAAATCAGAATTAATACTTTGAGCTATGACCAATTAAAACTCTCTGTTCGACATGAAGACCAGTGGAACAGAATAGAGGATCCAGATATGAAGCCACACAACTATGAGCAACTTATCTTTGACAAAAGAGCTAAAAATATACGATGGAGAAATAGCAGCCTCTTCAACAAAAACTGCTGGGAAAACTGGTTAGCAGTCTGCAAAAAAACTGAAACTAGATCCATGTATATCACCCTATACCAAGATTAACTCAAAATGGATCAAGGAGCTTAATATCAGACCCCAAACTCTTAAGTTGATACAAGAAAGAGTAGGAAATACTCTGGAGTTAGTAGGTATAGGTAAGAACTTTCTCAATGAAACCCCAGCAGCACAGCAACTAAGAGATAGCATAGATAAATGGGACCTCATAAAACTAAAAAGCTTCTGTTCATCAAAAGAAATGGTCTCTAAACTGAAGAGAACACCCACAGAGTGGGAGAAAATATTTGCCAATTATACATCAAAGGACTGATAACCAGAATATACAGGGAACATAAAAAACTAAATTCTCCCAAAACTAATGAACCAATAAAGAAATGGGCATATGAACTAAACAGAACTTTCTCAAAAGAAGAAATTCAAATGGCCAGAAAACACATGAAAAAATGCTCACCATCTCTAGCAATAAAGGAAATGCAAATTAAAACCACACTAAGATTCCACCTCACTCCTGTTAGAACAGCCATCATCAGCAACACCACCAACAACAGGTGTTGGCGAGGATGCGGGGAAAAAGGAACCCTCTTACACTGTTGGTGGGAATGTAGACTAGTACAACCACTCTGGAAAAAAATTTGGAGGCTACTTAAAAAGCTGGACATCGATCTACCATTTGATCCAGCAATACCACTCTTGGGGATATACCCAAAAGACTGTTACTCCAGAGGCACCTGCACATCCATGTTTATTGCGGCACTATTCACAATAGCCAAGTTATGGAAACAGCCAAGATGCCCCAGCACTGACGAATGGATTAAGAAAATGTGGTATCTATACACAATGGAATTTTATGCAGCCATGAAGAAGAACGAAATGTTATCATTCGCTGGTAAATGGATGGAATTGGAGAACATCATTCTGAGTGAGGTTAGCCTGGCTCAAAAGACCAAAAATCGTATGTTCTCCCTCATATGTGGACATTAGATCAAGGGCAAACACAACAAGGGGATGGAACTATGACAAATGATAAAAGCTTTAGCACACAAGGGAGGGGTGAGGATAGGTAAGACACCTAAAAAACTAGCTAGCATTTGTTGCCCTTAATGCAGAGAAACTAAAGCAGATACCTTAAAGCAACTGAGGCCAATAGGAAAAGGGGAACAGGTACTAGAGAAAAGGTTAGATCAAAAAGAATTAACCTAGAAGGTAACACCCACGCACAGGAAATCAATGTGAGTCAATGCCCTGTATAGCTATCCTTATCTCAACCAGCAAAACCCCTTGTTCCTTCCTATTATTGCTTATACTCTCTCTACAACAAAATTAGAGATAAGGGCAAAATAGTTTCTGCTGGGTATTGACGGGGGGGGGGGGGGGGGGTGGAGTGGGTGGTAAGGGAGGGGGTGGGAGCAGGGGGGAGAAATGAACCAAGCCTTGTATGCACATATGAATAATAAAAAATAAATAAATAAATAAAAAGTTTCCTATAAAAAAAAAATAAAATAAAATAAAACTCTGTTCTAAGGAAGTTACTAAATAGAATCAAAAGATACAATCAAAAATAAGATCAACAAAAGACGGGGTATAGAAAATAGTACATGTTCATCAGAATTTAGATTCTTTTAATAATTTTTTAAATTTTAAGTAAAAATTTTTAAGTCTAAAAAACATTAACAATCGACATTAATGGGAAGATTCATTGCTAGAAACCATACTCTTCCTGATGTTTGAGAAGAAAAAAATGTTTTCAAAAACATCTTTTGAGCTAAATTATTTTCCTATTTCAAAACCTCAGACTTCCAAGTTCTGGCAGAATTTGTTTTTAAGGGAAATATGAGAGTTCCACAAGGAGTCAGAACCAGTGGCTGGTGAAACAATAACTTTAATGTTATAGTTTAAGAACTGATCCGTGGAACATTTCTTTGTTCTGCTCTAAGCTGTAACTGTTGCTGAGGTCATACATAGAAAGACAGCAAGGCCACTACTGTGGTTTGGATATAAGCCCCAAAAAAGCTCATATGTCCAAGACTTGGTCCCCAGCTGGTGGCATCAAGATAGATCTTGATGGAATTAGCTTAATCAATGTATTATTCCATTGGTGAGTTTGTTTATAGCCAAAGGAGGTCAGGACTCATTTGAAGTAGTAGGTTTCAGAGGGAGGTATCATTGAAAGCTATATCTTGCCCTTAGACTCTCTCTCTCTCTCTCTCTCTCTCTCTCTCTCTCTCTCTCTCTCCCTCTCTCTCCTATCTCCCCCTCTGGGCTGCCATGTGGTGAGCAGCTTCCACTGTCACATGCTCCTGCTGCCATCATGTTCTGCTCCACCACAGGTCCTAGCGATGGAGACAGTTGACCATGGACTGAGACCTCTGGACTATGAGCCAAAACAAATCCTTCCTTCTTCAAGTTGCTTTTCTCAGGTATTTACAGCCACTGTGTCAAACAACTTACTGAATTAACACACTGGTGTTATGCTATCACAACCCCAAGATTTCTGGTATTTTCTAGTGTTTAACTCAGAGAAAATATGCATTTTATTTTAAATGAAGCTTTCAAAAAATTGTTAACCAAAATCTCCCAAACTCAATTGCCCAGTTTAAGAGCTCTAGAACTCTGTGCAGTTTGTTTAAACAGTATGACTCAGTTTCCCCATAAAAATAATGAAAAATTACCCAACTACCTCCTTGGATTTTTTTGTAACAATAAATGACATAACATGTAAAAACCCAAGTGTAGTAGCGAGCATGATGTTGATAAATAATAAATATTGTTATTATTATCCATGTTCAATATTTAAGGATCTACTTTTTTAAACATCATGTTTATATGAACCAATATTTATTGATTTTCACAGAATTTTCATGAAGAAATCTCACTACACTGAACTTGAGTAGACTCTAAATTATTATAATTAATATGTGTTCAAATGTGTTCATAGTAAAAGTCACTTGGCTCTTATACAGAAATTGCAAGATGAAAGAGATCAACCCTTCAGTGTTTCTGTACTAACTAGAGTTGTCAGGATTCCACCCAATGTCCTTGATCTCTCCTCTGTTAGGAGGCAGGAGTTTGCAAGTTAAGCCTCTCCAGGAATAAGTGAAGGTAGAGGCCTGGGTCTGTATGTCTTAATATGCTCATCAGAAGCAGTGAAGGTTAACCTGGACAGCCCTAATCATCTATCTCTCCTTAGGAAAATGATTGTATGCAATCTACATAACTGCATGTTTTTTTCTGACTGATGTAAGATAGACATGACAAGTTGAATGGTTCAAGATTCTGAATGCTCAGATTATAAGAAGGCATTTGCAGGACAGACTTCTCAGAAGTACAGGGTCTAGGAGAAAGTAAACAGTTCCCCACTTCTAATGGTGTTCCCCTCAGTCCCTGCTATGTGATCTAGATTATTCTGAGACTGCGTGAAGGCTGAAATATGGAAAGTATTGAACATACAGCAAGAGATTTCATGCATAAACCCATCCAGAATGTCCATGTGAAATTTCAGCTCATTCTTCTTAAAATGCTACAATTTGAAAAAAAAAAAGCTACATATCATAAATTCAACTGCAATTCCCTTGAAGTCACTGGGTTTGCTTACCCACTGGGAAAATATACAAAGGATGTCCTGTACTTTTCATTTGACATGGTGGTAATAATTCAGTCAATATCAGAATATTCACTTGTGAACTATGCTGATATCTTCAATGATCCCAATATGTATAATGTCAGACAGCATGACATCAACTATCTGCTCCAGCATTCTCTCAATTGAGTGAGTATATGATCC